GTTACTAACCTGTGTTTCGAATACTGTTCTTTGCAATAATTTACGACGGAGAATAATTGATAAAGGTTGACTTAACCTGTTTCTGTTCTTATTAGTTACTATTAGATATACGCCATGGTATACTGATTGTCAATAGCAATGCTCTCCGGACAAAGAAATCTCCGAGACACAGCAGCTTCATGTATTTTATAAAATCAAAATGCTCTTCAATGCAACGTGCCTCCACAATAGAAAATAGGGAAATTCTAAAATCTTGCACAGAAAAGTACAAAATACTAAAATGTTGCATGAGAAAAATATCAAGATCCTCCATACAAAAAATCCCGGGGAGGGCACTGAATAGTGGTATAGGGAGCTGAAACATTTGAAGAACAAACCAAGAACTCTTTTGTAGAACATTATGTAACATGAATACACTACTGGCCCAAATGTTGTAGAGTAGTGTGAAAATACAATCTTTGCATGACAGGGACTGTCTTCGGTCATTGCCAGGTTAAAGATTCTTGAACAGTTCAGTTCAGTTCTTGAACCCCAAAAAGGCAGCTCCATTCTAATCATAGCTACATATACATATACAACGTGTGGGTGAAATATGACCATAAAAATATGGGATATACCCAAGAGGTATTGTTCCTGTTTTTTCCTTAAAATGAAGCCATTACAAACATAAGCCACAGATGATATGATTTACTTAACCATCGCCTCTACTTCTGTTCAGTTTAGTAATAAGTATACAATGTTAAACTCCCACTCCATCTGCAGCCATCAAATCAAATTTGACAAGAACCAATTGAAACTTTACTAATACTTAGTGTCAAGGGAGGCAAACATGACCAAGATATAGTCAAGGGAGGCTATTGTTAGATTGACTTAGACAGTCAAGTATGCAAACTAAGCTTGTATTCGCGAATGTAAGTAGCGGCTAGCAGCTACCAGATTAACTAACTATTTTATGGGCAACTCATTTAAATATGAATAGTTCCTGCCGCTACTCCATTCATATTGAAATGAATTGGTCATAACATACTAGGTTCGCAAATACCTAGCTAATACAGTGTCAAGGGAGACTATGTAAGATTTACTAAGACAGTCAAGTATGCAAACTTTACTAAGACATTGTCAAGGGAGGCTATTGTAATCTTTACTAAAATATAGTCAAGGGAAGTAAGTGGATTTGTTAATATTTTGACCTCCTCCTCTTCATCTTCTTCCCCTCCAAGGAGAGTCATAAGGGCTTGGAGCAAGACTAGAATGTCTAAGAGATGAAACTTTTCTGGTAACTAAGTCTGATTAGCCAAATTGATGGGAAGCATGGTTCCTGTTCTATTACAGAGCTCTCTTGAGATCTCTAATGCTTACTCAGTATAATTTCAAAACCCTGATATATGAAGACTTACAGATATAATGAATATCTTCATGAATGATTTTCATCTTTTCTTTATTTTAAATGTTCATAAATGAAGATACAAAAGGAAAGGTGTCTAATATTTATATTTAGGAGCAATATACATATATAGTAAAACAAGTGGAACACATTCATGAGAAGAACCTTCCTTGAACTTGAGTTACCTGTATTAACCAGGGTAAAATGTGACTCTTAAGTTGAACACTTTTTTGATGTACTAAAGATTTTCCACTTATAGTTTCTGCTATATTTGCTTATGTTATCCAGTAAAATATAGCAGCTGCATTGTAAAAAATATATAACAGCAGCTAATTGCTGTTTTGCGAGATATAACAACAGCTAATTGCTGTATTGCAAGATATAACAGCAGCCAGTTGCTGTATTGCAAGATATAACAGCAGCTAATGCTGCATTGCAAAATATAACAGCAGCTAATTGCTGTATTGCAAGATATAACAGCAGCTAATTGCTGTATTGCAAGATATAACAGCAGCTAATGCTGCATTGCAAGATATAACAGCAGCTAGTGCTGCATTGCAAAATATAACAGCAGCTAATTGCTGTATTACAAGATATAACAGCAGCTAATGCTGCATTGCAAGATATAACAGCAGCTAGTGCTGCATTGCAAGATATAACAGCAGCTAACTGCTGTATTGCAAGATATAACAGCAGCTAATGCTGCATTGCAAGATATAACAGCAGCTAGTGCTGCATTGCAAGATATAACAGCAGCTAATTGCTGTATTGCAAGATATAACAGCAGCTAATGCTGCATTGCAAAATATAACAGCAGCTAATTGCTGTATTGCAAGATATAACAGCAGACAATTGCTGTATTGCAAGATATAACAGCAGCTAATTGCTGTATTTGCAAGATATAACAGCAGCTGATGCTGTATTGCAAGATATAACAGCAGCTAATTGCTGTATTGCAAGATATAACAGCAGCTAATTGCTGTATTGCAAGATATAATAGTAGCTAATTGCTGTATTGTAAAATATAACAGCAGCTAATGCTGTATGTAAACTGCAGGTTTTACCTGAGCATTGTAGAACCTCTGGGCTAATGCCAACTAAGTTCCCTTGAACGTGATGGCCAGAGTGATATAAGATAAGTCTTAGAGGATATCAAGAAAAACAGGCTAGTTGTCTTGTTTTATTAGACAGCCTTGTGATGAAATAAGACAGCACTGTCATATTATAAGGTTTAGATGATGTCAGGTATTAAGACGGTTAAGCATGGGAGGTGTCCTAATTAATGCTAATATTGGAAAACTCTGGGGTAAAATCTTCATCAATTCTTACTTCAGAATCAAGCTTTGGATTTGTGTTTCTGTTTCTTTATTCAACTACTGTATATCTCAGTTACTTACCATTACGATATCTGTAGTCTCAGTAACATTTTCAAAATTTTCCCAAATGGCAGAAAATGGTCTTTATGTATATTTTGGGATATGCATTATTACTATAAATAGCACTGTGATTTTCTTACTTGACATATACTTTGCTTAATTATATCTAACTTCCATTATGAGTTATTGAGATGTTGTGAGTCAGTAATTCATTGATTTCAAAATATTTATGCAACCAATTATGAGATTAAAGTATCCCAGATGTCAGGGCGATCAAGAATTTTTTAATGAAATTACAACCAATATGGCCATATACATAGTGTAAAAAATACATACCCTTATATACAATTTAGAAAAATTATAAATTTTGTGAAATCAGTTTGGTTAAAAACCATTTATAGAATAAGAGAGGGGGGAATAATAATGAATATTTAGGCAGACATCAGGGTTCGCTATAATCATTTCTGACGCACTTGTCTAAATTGAATTACGGACCAGTTGTTACATTCAAAATTCAAATAACCTGGCTTATGTTGCACCTTGTACGATACTGGTCTGTTTATGCTATAAAAAGATGGTAGCAAACCAGATGTTGATTTCATTGTGAATTTCTATCAAGACTGTATGGGAAAGATCTTATCTTGTCAAACTCTTAGAATACCATACAACATTATTCAGTGTTAACTTGATTTTTTCCCGATTTTCCGTCATGTATGGATAAAAGGTACAAATGTACTTTTAAATTCGTTCAAGGCCAAATTGACCCTCCGTTTGATTGGTCTAAATACGGTTCACATTTTTTCTTTAAATTGGTCTAGACTCCTGAGTATTGAGTTCTGAATTTTTAGAAATATAATTGGTTGTGTTCATCATTTACAGAACGTGGTTATTATATGTAGATGGACCCACTTATTGCTCTACACCATATAAATATTACGCTAACATTTTAGAATAACAAAAATCTTTTTTTCACGCTTTGAAAAAGTGCTATCATTGTCTCATACTCAAAAAGGTGAGATGAGTATTAATTTCTTATAACTGAATCCATTTCTATTCAAGCTTTTGAGATGCTAGTACTTAAAAAAATATAAATTCTCAACATTTCTAAGATTATACTGGTACATATACATTTTATAGCACACATTGTGGTTTTATCGATTATTCAGTGTTGGTTGACAGTAACCGTTGATTGAATTTCAAAATAAGTTATTTATGTTAATTCTAGAGAAGAAGAATGAGGTATGTCAAGGAAGGTCAACAATTTGGTATTATTCCATTGTAATTGACTATTGGGACCAAACACCAGCAATGGGCCTGAAGATAAATGGCTTGTTTATTCATCCATTCATTTCTGACTATACTCCTCCATGGTATATTTTGGAAATTCTGTGTTGTAGTTGTCTAATATGTTGATTTGGGTAAATTGCAGGAATTCATATCCAATGTGTTGATTTGGCTGCATTGCAGGAATTCATATCTCATATGTTGATTTTGCTGCATTGCAGGAATTCACGTCAAGTTGATTTGGCTGCATTGTAGGAATTCATGTCCAATATGTTGATTTTGCTACATTGCAGGAATTCATGTCCAATATGTTGATTTTGCTGCATTGCAGGAATTCATATCTAATATGTTGATTTTGCTACATTGTAGGAATTCATGTCTAATATGTTGATTTTGCTGCATTACAGGAATCCATGCTCAATATGTTGATTTTGCTGCATTACAGGAATTCATATCCAAAATGTTGATTTTGCTGCATTGCAGGAATTTATATCCAATATGTTGATTTTGCTGCATTACAGGAATTCATATCTAATATGTTGATTTTGCTGCATTACAGGAGTTCATATCCAATATGTTGATTTTGCTGCATTGCAGGAATTTACATCCAATATGTTGATTTGGCTGCATTGCAGCAATTCATGTCTAAAATTTTGAGTTTGCTGAATTGTAGGAATTTTGCCAGATGTGATACGACTGCATTGTTGGAACATATATTCCCAGATTGCTTGGAGGAACATGTGACTATATGTGATTTTGCTGCATGGCAGGAGCACTCAACCATATGTGATTTTGCTGCATTGCAGGAACATATGGATTTTTGTGATAAAATTGTTTTCTCAAATTGCCCATACAGTATGTTTATTCTGCATCATTGCAGTCCTACACCTAATAATAAAGTTGTAAACACCCTTTATCATTCCTTCTTCTAACTCATGTTTTTCATGTATTTTCAGGAGAGTGTAGAATATGTGTTCCTTGTAGTCTTTACATTAGAGTCAATCATGAAGATTATAGCCTATGGTTTCATCTTCCATTCCGGTGCTTACTTAAGAAGTGGGTGGAACATTCTAGATTTTGTAATCGTAGTAGTAGGGTGAGTATATCTGCCATTTACTAGTTCTAGTATGTAGATCATCCGGTGTTATATCAAAGGACACAGATCATTTATGATAGTGCTAACAAATATAAGTAAAGTTGCTCAAATCATTTGTGGAATCCATGGTATACATGTACAGATCATAAGTCATAAGTTATAGTCATGGTCAGATCATAAATCATTCATTCATTTTGATAAAATATCCACAGAACATTATTTATAATCCAAAGTGTCCAATATTGTAACAAAGTTTATGGATTTTAGTAATTTTTCTTTTCTATACATGTGCATTTTTTAAAATTGATAATATATGTTTGATATCCTCTAAAAATGGTTTCATCAAAAATACTGTATACTTTAAATACTTTGTCATTTTCAGATTAATAAGTACTGTGTTGTCAAAAGTGAATCTAGACAAGTTTGATGTGAAAGCGCTAAGAGCTTTCAGGGTGCTCAGACCTCTTAGGCTCGTGTCTGGAGTTCCAAGTAAGTCTATAGCTTTTTGTAATTGTCATCACAAGAAAGTCTGATCCTTGTTATGTCACCACCAAAAAGCAAGAATGTAAAATAAATGATTGTAAATGATAAATATGATATACATTGTTCTTTCCTCTTTTAATCTCATATAACATTTTTTGTTACAATCAACTGCAAGTTTGAATTATATGTGACAAATTTTTAAAAAGAAAATTGTTGGTTGACACTTAAAAGAAAAAACATCATATTGTATGAAATTCAGCATTTTTGGTAACACCTGCATAATTATACTTTTTGGTAGCCAGGAGTGAAAAACATTTTGTTGATTTTTGTCTAAAGACTTATGATAAGAGATTGCCTTTGTTATTTCCGAATTCCTATGAGAAGATTTCTTTATTTACATAATCTTCTAAGTAGCTAATTCCGTGATCAGTTCAGATCAGCTCTTTTGTTATCCATTAACTTGCGCAGTAATTCCTCTAAAATATTAAACAGCTCAGAGTTTTGTACAGCTAAAACAAAAACATCTAAAGGTTACATGGTGTCCCACGAGATGGAACAATGGTAAAGGTTAAATGAATACAGGGTGTCCCACGGGGGATTGAGGGGCAATGTAGAATTAGAACAGTGATTAACTAACTTCATTTTCAAGAAAAAATTCCCAGTAGATGTGGTCGTTTCAATCTTTTCAATCCTAATATATCAAACAGTAGGTGTTAAATTCTATTTTAACTTGTAGATCCTTTGGGGAGCTAGGAAATATCTAGTATATCATCTGTTCAATGGCGTTACAATTTGCTTGAAAGAATTTGTTATAATATTAAAATTGTTTTATTTTAAAAATACAATATTTTCTTTTTGTAATTTGTAATTGATTGACCTGAGAAAATAGTTGATTGACCTGATGGATAAGTTGATTGATTTCATGGATAAGTTGATTGATTTCATGGATAAGTTGATTGACCCAATGGAAATGTTCATTAACCTTTTGTATAAGTTGATTGATACAATAAGAGTCTATTGAACTAATATAGTGGAGAGTTGAGAAAAACAAAACAGAAATATTAGAAAACAATCTGTATCTGCTATATAACACAATTGTGGCAAAGTATATTACTTTTTGATCCAGCATTTTCACATGATGATACATTAATTAGCATCAAAGACAATCTCTATTGGAGTTAATGGCTTTCTAATGATTTACTAATCTAATGTCCATCTGAAGTTCCAAGCAGGAAAAGACACATGATATTCTCTATAAGTCTTCTGTGTTCTTATACGACCCTTACCCTCTGGAACACACATCTGATAAGGCACAGACCCTGTAGGACTCAAGCCTTGTAAGAGACAGGCCCTATAGGGCACATGACCTGTAAGACCCAGAATCTATGAAATTCAGGCCTTATGAGACACAGACACTGTTGGACACATATGTTATAAGACCTGGGGCTTATGGGACTCTTAACTTCTGTAAGATCAAGGCCTTTGGAGACTGAAACCCTATAGACCCAGGCTATATGGGATTCAAATCTTGATAGACCCAGGCCCCTTTGGACCCATGTTCTTTTAGACATAGTTCTTTGCAACCCATACCAACAAATACTTATACCCCCATGTTAAATCCTGCCATGTCTTGCTTCAGAATGTTCATTTTGAAATATGCCGGTAGTTTAGTATACTCTCCTATATTAATATGATAGGAAGGAAGATAAATCACTATTCAATATTCATACGAGAGATTCGAGCATAAACCTCATTCAGTATAAGCTCTTCAAATGTTTCCGTCATTTTAGCCTAATAACGTTCATGTCTTTGCATTAATGAAGGACAAACTCATAATTCTTTGTCAGAACTGAAACTGACAGCCTTACAAATCTACTCTTAGAAGTGGTCAGAGTAATACAGTCATCTAACACCTCACAGTATGAACATTTTTGTCAGACACACTTCTTTACCATTGCCTACCATGTTAAAAAACTTTATATATGAACACGTCATGCAAATCTGAACACTTGACCATGCCTAACCCAGGATCCAAGTTGTGTTTCTATTAGTCAGATTTTGCTGTTCTTTACCGCACTGTAATAATAATCAGATCAACTATCTGGACAATAGAAATATTTAGAAAAAATTAATTATCAAAACAATGACTCTAATTGTCAATCAATCAATGAGTTAATCAATAAATTAATTGACAAATCAATCAACTTATAATTAATAAAGCAAAACTATGAAAACATTGTTATGTATTTCGCAATAATTATTTGATTACAATATCTATCAGATTGTATTCAACCAAATCCCAATATATACACTTATAACTACATCTGTATATTGATTTATTCATATAAGAGTCTATCACTTGAAATGAGAAATCATTTTTTGCAAGCTTTACAAATATTATATATACTGCATCTGGTAGTCAGCATTTGGTGTCAAATGGCAGTTGTTGATATTTTGCATGTTAATGCCTTGTTTTATTTTATGTGTTGAGTTGTTAATATATTATGTTCCATTTCAGGTTTACAAGTTGTGCTGAACTCTATATTACGAGCTATGGTGCCTTTGCTTCACATTGGCCTTCTGGTCATCTTCGTTATCATCATATATGCCATCATAGGCCTGGAGCTGTTCTCAGGGGAAATGCATAAAACATGCTTCTATAATGATACAGGTAGGCTATGTACTTTGTTGTCTACATCTCAAGAAATTGCGGCTTTCCATCAGTCTCTCGATATTTTGTGGAAATGCTATGTCTTGTGATGCTGTTATGCTAGGCCCACTGCCCCTGGAGAAAATTAATGTCTTGACACTCGGCAGCTTTTCAAATTATTCTAAATTGCACTTTTGGGAGAAATGCAGAATTGGTAAATTAGAGTTTCAAATGGCTTCTCCCAGTTATATTTTGTGTTATGAGGTCATAGATGTGTAAAGTCCATCAATTCTGGGTGCTAGATCTGAAATGTGTCAGTAATTTTGTACAGAGACAGGCTCCACACACCTCGACTACCATCAATGTCACTGTTTCCATCATTCTAATCTAATAATGGTCGTTGGTGTACAAGAATGAAATGAATCAATGTATTTTTCAGACCTTCAATTTTACACTCCTCGACTCTAACCCTGATCTAAAAATGAAAGACATTTTTACAATTTGTTATTTAGGGTGAAAAAATAATAATGGTCAATGATATCACTTTTAAATCATTCTCAGTTCCATATCTGGTCATTTGACGAAAAGGTAAAATACCGAACTGAAAAAGTTCAGCCAAAAAGATAGCGCAGCCAATTTCAGCCAATTTTATTCTGGATTGTGTGTATTTTCTGACCATGAAGACACGCAATTGTGTCATTTACATCCATGTATTATCTCAGGCAAACATACATGCTGAAGATTTATTAGGCTTATTAGACTTTGTAAAAAGTGCCTATGGTGATGATATATGCAAGATTATACCATTGTAAACAATGATTCAAGGATTTTCCTTTAAGTGCAGTTTTATTAATCTGTATTATGTGTAGGTGGGTGAGAACATATCAATCATGTTTGCATGTCATTTTGCCACTTACATCATCTTATTCAATGGAGTAGATATGTTTTGGATTCATAAATATTCCCTTTTATGGGTATGATGTGCTTAAAGATGTAAATTTTTGTAATTTAAGTAGTGAAAATAATATTTTAGATAAAAAATCATGTTGCTCTGTTTTCACATTACATCTGTAAACATTATTCTTATTTTTCACATTCGTTGGACAATAAATGACATCAGTTTAAGATAACTGTAGATATAACATCAGAAAGATCTGATAATGTGTTTGATGTAACCATTTCAAGACACGTCACAAGATACCGTTAGAAGAACCTGATTTCGAGCAATGGATATTTAATTCTATTATATCCAAAAGCAATGCACAAGGTTGAATCAGCTTAACCTCTCGACTACCCAGAGTGACGAGATTTCTCGAAAATCGATCACAAAATTTTTCACTAAAATTGCTTTAATTTGAATAATTTTTGTCTAATTAACATCACAAAGGAAAATCACATTTTGTTGCCTCCCAGTGTTCTTGTCTGACTATTAACCTCATCAGGTCCGTAGCCAGGGGATGGGGGTGTTCGCTGCGTTTGGGTGAACCCCCCCTGGCTAAAAATACTTTCAAAGTCATGCAGTTTTTCACCATTTTAAGCACTTCTCAAGTGATTTTAGCCATATTTGGGCCAAAATCGTCAAATGTGAACCCCCCTGGAAATTTTTGAAAACTGAACCCCCCTTGGCAAATCCTGAATGCGGGCCTGCTCATATATAATGGACCATTTCAAATTTAGGTTTTACATCATGATTTTCTAGCTTCGTATTCTGAATTTAATATTGTTTGTTGATGCACAGTTAAAATGGTCTACACTCCATAGCTACAGTATTAATCAGAATATTAGATTGTTTATTGTTTCCTAACCAGCTGGGGAATGGTCATTGACTTCCAAATCAATACATTCAAACTTACTCATCATCTTTATCTGTTATAATACGATGTAGTTCAATGTTTATGTTCAAAGATTGAACCTTGTTTGGTATTGATTTTTCTTGAGGTTTACGAGACACTTGGGAATTGTTTGGGAAGACATTTACTATTGAGTACATGTATTTACCTAAACTGGGTGATTTTTGGAGAATAATAATAATTACATGCATATTTACTAAAAAAAACGATAAACTGCAAGAAAATTTGGCTGGATGGTATCTTTCTCAATATCCTTAATACTATGTCAGTCTGATTGAAGAAAATTGAATTTAAGTTATATTTTCTAGTTGCCATTCTTTTGCCACTGCCAGGAGGTGGCGATATATTGTTATAGCCACCCTCTTTGGAAGAGCATTGGGTATCAGCATACAGCTTTTAGTATTTGTAACAAATGGTTACACTTATATAATTGCATACAAGGGGTTACATTTTTACATGCCATTGCCTTCAAGAGAGGGATTTAAAATATTATATTTTGGATAAATAAGGGTTATGTACTGGGAGGTTTTGGATATCCAAACCGACCGTACATAACTGCTTTATCCTATACCAAGTAGAGTTTTCAAGGGCATATGGTCATTTCAATAGTACATAGTGTAAAAATAAACAAATCATTCATATGCAAAGTCATTTTATATTGCATTACCGGAAGCGGGAAGATATGCACCGGAAGCGGGAAGATATGCACTGAAGCGGGAGATATGGCGGGAGATATGGAGGTTATGGATATGGAAACCTCAAAATCAGGATACGGGATATATCTTACTAACTTATCTCCCTAAAACTGCAGAGTGAACCCCTTGACCTAATCATAATTTTGTATTTTGTGCTATTAATGTACCCTTCTATAATGCCTTCGGGCGACTGAAGGGATTTATATTATGATATTTTTATGAAGCAATAAATATTTCTTAATAATAAAAAAAAAATCTCCCTAAAACTCTACTTGGCATAGGATAATTTGAATTATTATACAGATATTTTGCATATTTTACTTTGCAGGTAAACGCGTAATGGAATCACCAAAACCTTGCGGCAAAGGGTTCAAATGTGGCGAAGAAAATGAAATATGCAGACCATTTTGGGAAGGTCCAAATGATGGCATTACAAATTTTGACAACTTTGGGCTTGCCATGTTAACGGTGTTCCAGTGTGTAACTATGGAAGGCTGGACAGATGTGTTATATGATGTAAGTAAATTATTATATGGAGTAAGTAAGTTAACTCTAGTTAGGTATGGAATAGAAATGCTTGATGGTTTTAAACTGGTAGAAACTTTCAGGGATTCAACTGGCATTTTCAGGGATTCATCTGGTATTTTCAGTGATTCAACTGGTATTTTCAGGAATTCAACTGGTATTTTCAGGGATTAGTTGATATTTTCTGAATATTCTATCTAGAAAGTATGCTAAAACTTAAGTTTTAGCTATAGAATAATTTTTAACTGGATTTACACCTGTAATTTGTTGTTTTAATTACATGTGATTTGGACAATACAAGGGAAATGTCAACTTTGTGAAATTCTTGTTTTAATATATATGTATAATTGATTTTAAATATATTTTCAAAACAAATGATTTGATGAATTGAAAATGTGTGAGTCTTTATCAAGGACACCTTTAAAGGTTTAGTATATCCTGTACATACCTCTTACAATTTTTTTCAATAATTTTTAATTTCATAGCAGGGCTATTTCTATCCATTTACAACAAACTTGAAATAAAATACTAACCATTTACCATTTACAATTATAATTACCATATTCATTTATGAATAGTGAAAATAATATTGTAAATAAAATTATGTTGCTCTGTTTACTATTGTTTGTTTCTATATTATAGGGAATCATGAACCCACCCTGCTACAATATTGCATCACGATACGTTGAATGAAATGCACAACAAACTGATGAATTCTTTGGTTCTTTTCTTTACTTCCTTTGTCTATATGTCTTAACTATCTTGCGTGCTATAATCACCCCCAAATATGAAAATGTCATGTTATCTACAAAGGAGGTGTTCATAGGCGAGGTATATTTGAATATGGAGGCAAAATGTAAGCCATAGGCGAGGCATATTTTTTTTATTTGGGAGCCAAAATATAAGCCAAAGAGGATATTTTACTGCTACATCATTTCACAGTTCCAGTTGAAAAATGTGAAAATAATTTTTTATTTTGTAAAATTTTGGTGAAGCCTTTCATCTAGATTAGACTAATTGAGCTGTCTGTAAACTGAATTTAGACTAGATCCTTTTGTAAAGAAGTAGAAAAGTCGTTATCATCAAAATGGTTCCATATTCATAAAGGTATATTCCATTGAAAACATATTTATAATTTTCCTTTCCAAACCTATATGTTTACACATGCTGCAATTAATATGCTGCTTTATATGGCCTTTATAGTAGATTGGGTCTAGTCTAAATGAATTTTCGTCCTCCTGATTGAATCCACACATCTTCATGGCATTTTCAAGCACATATTGTATGCACGCGCACACTCGGGTGTGCTACGCATTTGCTAATAACAAGTTTCAGAGTTCCTTTCTATTTTCCTTTAAGTGTTTAACCTTGACCTTTTACCTTGACCTATATTTTCAGGTCAATGATGCAGTAGGGAGTGAGTGGCCATGGATATACTTTATAACGCTTATTATCCTAGGCTCATTTTTTGTACTTAACCTAGTCCTTGGTGTGTTATCTGGGTAAGTGGGACTAGTCTAGGAAGGATGGAAACTGCATGAGAATGTATAGATATGATATCCTCCCTCTCAGTAGATAACCTAGGGGTCATATGTCTCTCAAATTCAACAAAAAATGTTTCTCATTTGAGATATTCAAATCAAGACAACATGTCTTCTTCATATATATTAGGTACACTTCCAACTTTTCAAGCCATGTATGTACCGTTGTCTTCAAGAAAAGACCCCTTATACACATGACCACCTGGGTTTTCTGCTGACTAGGGAGCTGCAATATTCCACAGTGTAGTATATGCTAGTTATAAGAACATCTCATTCGTCAAATCATTTCTTCAAGCATATTTTTGATTTTTTCAATTTTTCATTTTTCAAGGAAAATAATGGTTATAGGCAAAATTATCTCAGTGGAAATTAGCCTCTCCAGGAATTATATTGCTACAGGATCTTGTTATTGGGTCTAGATAAGGTGTTCAATTAGCTATGCCCATATTACATTCGTGTGAGAGATGTGTGTCTAATTGTGGTCACTACAATACACAAAGGAACTCCAAGTCTCCTGATATTTCAGGGAACTTTTTGTTTATCCAGTTTTGAAATAAAAAATTATTTATTTATTTATGTACGATTAAAATTTACTATAAAGTAGAAAGTCTCTCTGTCCTCTCAGGATATTGGAGTTCCTTTATTATTACCACATGTTATCACCATCTATGTTGCCCACAGCTTATTTCAGGCCTGCATACATGTAGTAGAGTTTATATAGGTGCCTACTGTACACAGTTGTTCTGTGTGAGCTTGCTGAGTTTTGTGTCACCCAGTAGACATTATGTATTAACCCACAAGCTGCGTGAGACCATACAGGGTGTCACATTGTACAAACTACAAGTTGGAATTCATCCATATTTTCAAAAATCTGTAAATTCTATTGGTGTGCCAAGTATAGCTCAAAGGTATCAAGTAGAAGCTTTTCTGCTTGGTCCCAATACTATTTTTCAGAATGAACTGAATCAAGTAGATATGTACTTAGCTCATAATATGCAATGTATGGATTCCAAGATGTTGATTGGTACAATGTTTCTCCCTCCATCCGCAGCGTCCCCCATATGCTATGTTACGTGTTCGCTGGTTGCGTGCGTGCGTGTAGTAGTCTACTATACAACATTAGTGAGTGATCTAGGTGTTTATTAGCGTGTGACGTTCATTATTTTACAGATCAATGATGCCGTAGGTTCAGAATGGCCATGGATCTATTTTATCACACTTATCCTGCTTGGGTCGTTTTTCGTCCTTAACTTAGTTCTTGGTGTCCTGTCGGGGTAAGTGTTGGAAATGATATGAAAAACATTGGTGGCTCCAGGGGAATCATGCTCCAGGGAAAATAATGCTCCAATATGAATCATGCTCTGGGGAAGTCATGCTCCAGGGGAATCCTACTTCAGGGGAAATTATGGTCCAAGATGAATCCTGCTCGAGGAGGAGTTTTGCTCCAGAGGATATATTGCTCCAGGGGAAATAGTACACCAGGGGGAGTCATGCTTCAAGGGAAATTATGCTGAAAGGGAATCCTTTTCAAGGGAAATTACGCTCCAAAATAAATCATGCTAGAGTTAGAATCATTCTTGAGGGAGAAACATGTTTTTGAAAGAGACATGCTCACTGGGATCTATCAAGCTCCTGAAAGAATCCTGTTTCAGGGGAATCATGCTGTTATTTTTTATTTGTTGTGTTTCCCCAATTTTTCAACAAATTAACCAAAAAGAGGTTACTTAGGACATTGTCATACACTCAATTCTGCTGAAAGGGTCATCTTTGAAAGTTTGATATAGGACTGTGAGGTATGAAACACTTTCATGGTTGACAAAGCAATAATTACAACTATTTTTTCAGTTATCTTTTGTACTTTTTTGTGAATGGAACTCTTATAAATCACCAATTAAGACTGGAGCCACCATGTTTTCTTTTCCTGGTTCATTCAAAAAACAACCTGTTTTACATTATATATTTTTATTTGCTTTTAATAGACTAGTACTTAATGTAGATATTTTATGATTTCGCATCAATATTTTACCATGCTACTTTGTGTTTGCTTCAAATTTTTATTATTTTCATGAGTGTACTATATGCATGTTCTTAAATTTATCTGCATGTAACTGTTGTATTTCCATATATACCCAACACCCAATTTTTACTTCAGGATTAGGGTAAGAATGGTTCTACCAATAAACACATGTTAAAATTGTGTTATACTGTATTTCAAACTGTATTTTCAGTACTTGCTAGACAAGTCTTCATTTCAGTATAAATCTTTCAATTGACCTGGTCTTGATATCTCATGTTAAATGAAGTGCACTACTGTACCCTCTGTGCTGTGCTATATTATTCTCCTGTGTGATGGTTTTCAAATTGTGATGGTTTTCAAATTGCATACCTTGTGATATTATGTGAGTGATGCCAATAATGATTTAAGTGTTGATTTATTTGCGATTCAATTAATGAACAAAGAAGTATCCCAACTAATGCGAGGTCATTGAACCAATTGTCCAATCAAAATAACCCGGTTATTCATCCCCAAATCATATCACAATTATATAAATTGAACAAGTCAATTCATCCCATAATAAACTTTACCCTATTTGTTCATACTCAACACCCATTGGTCGATTCCTGTCACATGGTACATTTTTTGGGAGCTGCTTTGATTTATAAGGATTCAAGAATTTTTGAAGGTTCTATCTTTGTCACTTAAGTTATTGGTATAAAGAGCAGTTGGAATCCAGAAGGTGTCAAGCAAATGTCTTTCTAAGGAAATGTACATATTAGACTACTTTTCTTCTCAAGATCAATAACACTAGTCCTGATTTTGTGCTCTTGGGTTTTATTCAATTTACAACGACCTGCTTTCTGTCTGTCAATACGTTTCGCTTCAGTTGTTCCAATATCATTTAAAGATACCAAAATATAAGTAAAGCTTTGATCTTCATGGACTTGTCAGGCTGACCATATTTTAAGATAATCATTTTGTCTGAAAGTTTCTTTGACATTGATAACAAGTTATCATCATTTAAACTAATTTGATAAACAATTTGGCATCCAGGGACTCATTCCTGGAAAATATATTTCTGAGAATCTGAGGCTCACTAGCATCTTAAATTTTGAATATATTGAGCACTTATTTCATTAATGAAAGTTAAGTATTAATACACTATCACATTGGTCATTTAAATAAGTGTAATATATTTGACATGCCTGAAGGGTTTATTAAACCAGAAGACTGGTTCAGTTTCTGAATAGTAACTAGAAAGATGGCTTTAACTTGATTTTGAGCAACAGTGTTGTAAATAATCCATTTCATAATATCAAAATTGACATTCGTCAATTCTTTTCTTTGAATATTGATGAAATGTGATTCCAAAATATGTATGGTTGATTACTGGTAAGAATGAGATTTGCTTTTTAATGCAATATTCCTTGGCTGTGTGTTTTCTTGGATTAACATACTTTTTGTATATTCTTCTGGTGTCCAACATACCCTACTTCCCCCATCTCTGTCCCTTCATTAGAAATTCTAACCTATCATTTTGCTTCATGTGTTACAAATCTTATTTTGTAGAGAATTTTCCAAAGAGAGAGAGAAAGCAAAGGCTCGAGGTGATTTTCAAAAATTACGAGAAAAGCAGCAAATGGAAGAAGATCTGAGAGGCTACCTTGATTGGATAGTTCAAGCAGGTAAGTTTGTGTTGATTGAATAGTTCAAGCAGATATGTTTATGTCGATTTGATAGTTCAAACGGGTAAGTTTATCAAAAATGTGCAGCAAATACATTTGTAGGGTCCTATTAAAGTGAGTTACATATTTTTTTCCTTGCTTTTGTTGCCCTGAAACTTTAGGAAGTATGGAATAAATAAATGATATTTACAAATTGAGTTCATATAGGTTTATCATGAGGGACAGAATGATATCTGACTAATTGTTCTTTACAGAATAATGAAAATAGGGATACTTTTTGATACTTTTTGAAATATTGGTATGTCACCACCAACCTTTTTGTGGATGGTGTCTGGAATTTGAGGTCTGTCATAATAGAGATATCATAACTGCGATCCAATTTAATCTTGTATGCTATTCTGATATTGCAGAAGACATTGAGCCTGACAATGAAGAGGAAGAGGAAGCCGATGAAAAACCAACACCAAAACGTGAGTACATTCAGCAAATTTTGCAGATAAATCTCCTACTTTCAGAACTTGCAAATTATTCTTACAATGGTTTTGACAATCAAGAGAGGTTGAGCTTCATATTTTTAAGAGAACTTGTACAAGAATGTCTAGTATTATGACACCAGGGGTTTTCTGTTTCCCTTGTAATTGTTTTTTCCAGGACCTAATTTCAACTTTTTTCCTTATACCTTTATACTCAATCTGGAAAGTAATTACTACCAAGGGGAGAACTGATCCCTTGAGGAGCATAATTCTATGAGTTCATGAATCAGTTCTTGTAATAATGTAAAGCTTAACCTCTCTAATATAGAACTGTACAACGGTTTATTCATTGAGGGGATTACCCTAGCTATCACACTTGATTGAATATTATATAAGGGGAAATAGTTATTACATTGCATGCATACTTTTTTTGATTAAGAGACTGAAATAGTACATTGTTTTTATATAGATGTTTCATTGTGGTGTCAGTATTCTCAAGTCCATGGTCAGGATATGATTTTCAATGACTTTATTGGTTAAATATGAAGAAAGTCTTAATATGATTAGAAAACACCTTGTTATATTAAGAAATTACAAAGCAGTAAGTAAAGTGGGAATGAGGGTCAAATATTCGTATGCAAAACATAAAGATGCCATATTCTGTTATTGTACATGGTAATACCCTAAACGCAGCCAGAATCTTAAGATTTCCTCTATACTCCTGCTATATAAAACCTCCTATGTTGAATATTCTAGGAGTCTTAACATGCAATACAAAAACTAAATGATGTCATTTTGAACTCCATTTTTGGTTGTCAGGCAAATTGTAGAACACGATGAAGAAAGTGCATAATATAGTAGTTTTTCCAGTAGTACATCCCTCTCATTATTTTCGCCATCTTATGTTTAATGCTTCAATTATTGAGGTAATTTCCTGGGAATATTTTGGGAGCATAGTTGATTCAAATTAAGAAAAACTGTGTTTTTAACCCAGGGGTCTTAACTATTGATCCTTTTCCTACTTAAGTGCTTAAGTGGCCTCTGATGTAATTTGGCATCGACACTGGCATAAATCTTCAATTCCGAAACAAGCTAGGCTAAGGAATAGGGATGTACATCCAATTTCAAAAACAACTGCTTTTGTATTAGGGGACACCATAGGAAAGATTTCATTTTCTGGTGTAGGCCCATGGGAAGGTAACTAAAATATGTGTCTGTAAACTAAACAGTTGCCTTATTAAAAGCATTTGAGTCTATTCTTTTTTAACAAGATGAATCGCAAGAGAATCTCATGCCATCGTGAATTGTGAATGAAAACAGATAAGAGGAAGTGCTTTGAATTCATTAATTTTAGACATTTTGTAAGCTGTTTTTATTCCAAGGGTGACCTTATTGACAAGTAGATCACATTGTAATGTTTGTAAAAATGGGACAGGTTGTGTTGATCTTTTAAGCTTGTCACCATGACTGAAATATCTGATTAACCTACCATTCTTGTTGGCTTATATTGTTTGTGGTGACATATTGTTATAGTCTCTAACATTTTTGTGGAAGATGTTTAGTGGTTGGCGTGTGTAACAAATGGTGTTCGTAACAAATGGCAGGTGGTGACATTTTGCATTTTCATACCATTTGTTAGTGATGCAATATCTTGAGGTACTTATTGTGAAAGTTGTTTCAAAGTGTCCATTATTCGTACACATTTGTAAAAACATACCCCAAATTTAGAGTGATAGAGAGGACAAAACTAAAAAAAAAAAATTTGTGTACTTAGATTATATTTGAGTATAATACAAATTAATTGTTAATGCTAATGGTTTCAGATAAGCCCACGAGTGAAACTGATTCTAGTGAAAAAACAGATGAACTGGGTAGCGGGGAAATACAGCAGCAAACTTGGTGGCATAAAAAGAGGTACGGGTGTCTATTTTAAGGAAATATTTTTGAAACTGAACATCTTGGTTCAGAAGTGCAATATCTGTAGTCTTGGAATGTAAGTTGGGTCATCATTATAAGATGTATTCAGTTTCTCAACATGAATATTGTAAAAAGATATTAGAAAATGATGTTTGAATATGATTTTAATGTTGACGATAACTATGTTTTTAGATTCCTATACTTGTTTTGCAGCCGTCGGTTTTTCACATGGAACCGCAGATGTCGCCGAGCAAGCCGTCGCCTTGTAAAATCTCAAGCATTTTATTGGTTGGTTATTGTCTTGGTGTTTCTCAACACGGGAGTTCTCACATCAGAGCATTATGGCCAGGAACCCTGGCTTGAAACATTTCAAGGTATAGTCATTAGACAATGCTGCGGGGTCAGCTCAAAAATTTGGTTATAAATTCTACATGTACTAAATAGCCATTCAGGCGCTTAAAGGCAGAATCAGTTCTATAGGGAGTGACAAAATTGCATGCAATATGTATGATTGATCTACCAATGTATTCCTTAGAATCTCATATATAATAATATCTCTCAAAAGATCTGTGGTATGTTATAAATTGGTAAAGTTAAAGTTAGTTCTCTTTTAAGATTCAAAGAACAAAAATGGGGGGAAAATATTTAGATTCTCCCAAATAATAAGAATGGTAACCGTTCTCATAGACAAATGATTGCATTATTGTAAAAATATTTATTTTTCCTCCTTTGTGCTTATTAAGTACCCATGGTGCCATTCATGAAGCTTATTAAGTACCCATGGTGCCATTCATGAAGCTGTTAACTCTCATATCTCAAGACTCTTTAAATCTAATAGACTGACAATACAGCAACATTTGATTGAAATTCCCCCAAGAACATCCCTTCAACATCATGCGCTATTCCACTTCAATATTACAATGAAACATGACAGAAAACATTGGAGAATAAGACAACAAGAAACCAAACCTGACACAGGATATTTTTTGTAACATGAACACTATAACTCATTTGAACAATGTATCACATTACAATTCTTAAATCACCACAAGGCATCATATACATGTAAGAATGATTCATATGACAGGGAGCGGCTAGGCAAGAGGACACCTAGATAGCATCACATGAACATGAAATCTAAAGAGTTGTGATGAATATGTTCATTTTATGATGCATATTCCCAATTGTTTGGTCTCAAAATTATTATTACGAAGCATTGCGATACATAGCACATTTCTCCAAAATAAAACCAGTCGAAACAAAATAATGTTTATTTTTTCAGATGTTGCCAACCTTCTGTTTGTGATCCTGTTCACACTAGAGATGTTGCTCAAGATGTACAGTCTGGGCTTTCAGGGATATTTTGTCTCTCTCTTCAATCGTTTTGACTTTTTTGTCGTCATATGCAGTATATTAGAGGTCGTGCTCAAGTACACCAAGGTTATGCCTCCCTTAGGCGTCTCCGTGCTCAGATGTGCTCGTCTACTTAGGATATTTAAGGTCACTAGGTATGTGATGAATGCTTTTCTTTAAAAACTAAGACATACAGATATATGGCACCAAGTCCAAAAAGTTCAGTTATATTTTAACAATGTTCCTTTTATTATGTCCCCACCACATAGTGTGGGGCCATATTGTCGGCCTAGGCGCGTCCGACTGTCTGTCCGTCCGTCCGTCCGTCCGTCTGTCCGTACGTCCGGGAGTTTTCTCCAAAACCGCTACAGATATCACCTTCAAATTTTCAGGGATAACTTATGAGTGCCTATAGATGTGGATGAAAAAAATTTAACTCGAAACCTACTTCCTGTCGGCCATTTTGAAGTCAAATGCTAAAATCCTTGTCTGCAAACTTTAAGAAAAACTGCTTCACAGTTGCTTTTAAAACTTTAACATCTTGTTCAGCTCACTTCATTCTAGATCTGATTAGGTTTTGGACCTGCTAGCTCAGTCGTGTCAGCCATTTTGAATGTCTTAAGAAAAGTTAGCGCGCGATAATACTTTGTATCATATTGAATGGTGTTTTTGAGTTTTCATACTTTAACTATTTAGTAGCTTTATAAATAATTTCAGATGTACTTTGTTGTAAAAGCCTACTTTATTGTTAACAGTAGTTATATGTGATAATTTTGTAAAAAGAAATCAGCAAAAACTCATAAGGACTTTTTTATTGTCGGCCATTTTGGATTTTTCGGTCCTAAAATCTTGTCTGTGAAGTCTTGTCTACGCGTTTTCAGGTGAACCGTTTGGTGGATCAATTTCAAATTTTCAGGGATGATTCTTAGTATAAAAATCTAGATCTCATTAGTTTTTTGGCATTCTGGGTAAATGTCAAGGCAGCCATTTTGGATTTTCCGTCCTAAAATCTTGTCTGTGAAGTCTTGTCTGTGCGTTTTCAGGTGAACCATTTGGTGGATCAATTTCAAATTTTCAGGGATGATTCTTAGTATAACAATCTAGATCTCATTAGTTTTTTGGCATTCTGGGTAAATGTCAAGGCAGCCATTTTGGATTTTCCGTCTTAAAATCTTGCCTGTAAAGTCTTGTCTACGCGTTTTTAGGTGAACGGTTTGATAGATCAATTTCAAATTTTCAGGGATGATTCTTCATATGAAAATCTACATCTGATTAGTTTTTTTGCATTCTGCGTAAATGTTAAGGCAGCCATTTTGGATTTTCTGTCCTAAAATCTTGTCTGTAAAGTCTTGTCTACCCGTTTTCGGGTGAACCGTTTGGTAGATCAATTTCATATTTTCAGGGATGATTCTTAGTATGAAAATCTACAAACAGATTAGTTTTTTGACATTCTGGGTAAATGTCAAGGCAGCCATTTTGGATTTTCCATCCTGAAATCTTGTCTGTAAAGTCTTGTTTACATGTTTTCTGGTTAACTGTGTGACGGATTTCAAATTTTCAGGGGTGGTTCTTAGTATGAAAATCTAGAATTGACTAAATTTTTGGCATTCTGGGTAAATTTTAAGGTGGCCACTTTGGATTTTCCGTCCTCAAATTGTGTTGGTAAAGTCTTGTCTACTCATTTTCAGGATAACCATTTCACGGGATCACCACTTGGTGGGGACATATTGTACACATTTGTGTTCTTGTTTATAGTGTTTCAATATATTTTTTTTAAATTACATCTCATTCTGTTATAATGTGTACCATAACAATTATATATATAAAACATATCACCTAATAAACAAAACTCTATTGTTCTACTTGTAGATACTGGTCATCGTTACGTAACCTGGTAGCTTCATTGCTTAACAGTATGCGCTCAATTGCAAGTTTATTGCTTCTTCTCTTCTTGTTTATCGTCATCTTTGCCTTACTTGGGATGCAACTCTTTGGGGGAAGGTTCAACTTTGAGGAAACAGCTGAAAAACCAAGGAGTAACTTTGACACGTTTATTCAGTCGTTGATTACAGTCTTTCAGGTATAGTATTGGTGTGTTCATAATGATAGATGTTTAGAAAAACTAAGTAGGTTTTGATATGGTGAAGTCAGCACACCATCCTGTCTGTGATGGTACAAGTAAAATTTATGGGAATAATGTGTCAACTGGCTATGCCATTGTCATATTGACTTCTCAAGCTAGAAAACTAACCTAGTGTGGGTCATTGATTTCCTCAGTCTAGATAAGTTTATTTTAATAAGTATCTGGGGTACATTTGTAGAACCTTCATAAAAAGAAGAATTCTTTAGTCAGTTGTTTTCTTGCTATATAACATTGTGGTATCGTAAATTACTGTGACATAGAATGTTATTTCAAGTGTTTTATGTTTCAGATCTTAACTGGTGAAGATTGGAATGTTGTCATGTACGATGGAATAAAAGCCTACGGTGGTGTCAATACTATAGGAGTCATCATATGTTTATACTTTGTCTTTCTCTTTATATGTGGTAACTGTATCCTTGAACAATCAATTTAAGTCACACATACAATCAAAGATCCTTATCAGATCCTTAAGGTCACATACACGTATTACATACAACTTGAATTTTTGCTTATTTTTCTTAAACATTTAATTTTTTTTAATCACTAACTTTTTCTGAGTTTACTTATTAAATAATTGAACAACAAAGAAAAACTATAAGAATTAAACTGATAAAAAGACAATACAACTTAAATGAACTCTTCAATTCATACAAGTTAACAACTGAATACATTTGATAATGCATCGATTTCATAACATAAAAATCGACCTTAACTTGTGTAAGATATCCTGCTGAATGTCTTCTTGGCTATTGCGGTGGACAACCTGGCAGATGCTGAGAGTCTTACTGAGGCAGAGAAAGAGAAGGAGGAGGAGAAAGAGAGGACCAAGTCACTAAGGAGAAGCAAGAGCAGATCTCCCTCTGATGAGAAAAAGGTAAGACATGAATAAGTTTGAGGGGTTGAGTCGACAAATTGTAGCATGCATCCGCTGTTTTTAGTCTAGATACTTAATTTTGATTGGTGAGTAGGAGGTAAACAATTTGCTAAGTTTACCATGTGGTCATGTATCCGGTGTGGTTGTACATCATGTTCAAAATGTCTGTTGTAGGAGCCACTAGATGGCGAGAGTGTTGAGGTTGTAGAGGATGATGATGACGATGACAATCCAAAGAGGTACGATCGGGAAAGATCCCCGGATAGTGTAGTCAGTGAGCATCGTGTTAAGATTCATGATGTTGATACAACTGATACAGAAGTTGATGAATACAGGAGGCGAGATAGAGATGGTGAGTTTGTAATGAGAGTTAAAGCATGTTGGTTTGAGTATGTTTTAAAGTGTTCAAATGAATGACCTTCCAGACAACTTCAACTCCTTGCAGAACTTCAACTCCTTGCATTTTTAGCGCAGAAATTTTTCCTCTTCATACAGCATGTATATCATTTAACCATTGATCTTTACCCAGATAGCAGTGATATAAATGATGATGTTGTAGACCGCGATGAAGATGACGAGGATGAAGAAGATGAAGAAGAGAGAGAAGAAGGAGATGAGGAGACCCATACAACACTGTCTGCGAGACCTCGTCGCATGTCAGATCTCAACATAAAGGAAAAGAAACAACCCATTCCTAGAGCTACATCTCTCTTTGTATTCTCACATACCAACAAGTAAGAATTAATTGTTAAAGTTACTACTTTATATAGGTTACTCATTGGAGCATTTTCGAAATTATGATTTTGGTTAGAACTCTCTCTGAGAATGTCCATTTATTCATGATGTGTGTAATCTTTAATGTTATCTTTTTCAGACTCTTCAGGTTATGTGTGTTTATGCACAATTTGTGTAATCACTCATTTCTTTTTCAGATTCTATGTGTTCATGCACAATTTGTGTAATCACTTATGTTTTCTTTTCCAGATTCTGTGTGTTTATGAAGAATATGTGTTATCACTCATATCATCTTTTCCAGATTCCGTGTGTTTATGCACAATGTGTGTAATTTCTCATGTTATCCTTTCCAGATTTGATGTTTTTATGCACAATTTGTGTAATCACTCAGATTATCTTTTTCAGATTTTATGTGTTGATGCACAGGGTATTTAATCTCTCATGTTATCTTTTCCAGATTCCGTGTGTTTATGCACAAGGTGTGTAATCATTCATACTTTGGCAACATTGTGCTTGCCTGCATTCTCATATCAAGTGCCATGTTAGCAGCAGAGGACCCCTTAGATGCAAACTCAGCTAGGAATAAGGTAACAGATTCCCCTTAGGCTGTACCCTCCATATGTATTTAGATAAATCAAATGAAACAGCCATTTAGATTTTTAAGAGTTTTAGGCTAAACTGCAATGAGTGTCTTAATTATGATATAAATTACTTCAAGAAAGTTCAATTGAATATTTGGTTCATGTTGTACTTTAAATGAATCAAACATTTTTCATGTAATGAAAAGAAAGCACAAGTAATAAAATTTCAAAACACAAAGTATGCAATAATATTATTGTAAAACATTATATATATTATTTAAGAAATATAGACCTCAGAGCAGGGCTACTAGTTTCGAATACACCCCGCAGGTCTAGGCACAAACGTTTTCTGTTCGAAAGCTTTTGTGCTAAGACCTAAGGGGTATATTCGAAACTAGTAGCCGTGCTCTGAGGTCTATATTACGATTCGAACATGAAAACTCACCAGAATATTGCAAAATCATCAAATTCGATGTTCATTTCCACTTTTTTCATTTCTACTTCTGGTTGAGTGTTTGGCTGTTACTACATCTACTACATTTATAATTATTGAAATTATTTCTATATTGCCCAGAAACAAAAAAATCATGGCTGATATCCATATAACGGAATAATCACTGCATTTTGCTAAGTTCTTTCACTGACCAATGAGTGCACTGAACGAAACACTTAGTACAGAGCCAGGGATTTGATCTCGAATATAACCCAGCTGAAGCATTGACTTTGTTCACAGTTTATAGAAGGCATGAATACAGTCATGTTCGATTGTAGAACATTACATGTTTTATTGTGAAACATTTCATAATCATACATTATTGTAAAACATTACATACATTATTGTAAAACATAACATGTATAATTGTAAAACATTCTAGTTTAATCATGAATCATGCACATTATTCTTAAGCATTGCTTGTATTATTGTGAAACATTACATAATCATACATTATTGTAAAACATTACATACATTATTGTAAAACATAACATGTATAATTGTAAAACATTCTAGTTTAATCATGAATCATGCACATTATTCTTAAGCATTGCTTGTATTATTGTGAAATATTACATAATCATACATTATTGTAAAACATTACATACATTATTGTAAAACATAACATGTATAATTGTAAAACATTCTAGTTTAATCATGAATCATGCACATTATTCTTAAGCATTGCTTGTATTATTGTGAAACATTACATAATCATACATTATTGTAAAACATTACATACATTATTGTAAAACATAACATGTATAATTGTAAAACATTCTAGTTTAATCATGAATCATGCACATTATTCTTAAACATTGCATGTATTATTGTGAAACATTACATAATCATACATTATTGTAAAACATTACATATATTATTGTAAAACATAACATGTATAATTGTAAAACATTCTAGTTTAATCATGAATCATGCACATTATTCTTAAACATTGCATGTATTATTGTGAAACATTACATAATCATACATTATTGTAAAACATTACATATATTATTGTAAAACATAACATGTATAATTGTAAAACATTCTAGTTTAATCATGAATCATGCACATTATTATTACATTGCAGATATTGAACAATTTTGATATCTTCTTCACAACTGTGTTCACTATTGAAATTATCATCAAGGTAAGCGTATTGAATGTTGACGCATATATGGTGGCGTCTTATGTTTCGTACTAGATTCTACACATAATTAATCTCATTTAGGGGTGATTGTATGTGGTAAAAGGCTGATGTATAATTTTGAAAAATTTTTAATTCATTTTTGGATCCCTAGGGAGTACCATTTTTTATTCAAGAGTGCTTCAAAAACTTGATATCAGTAACAAGGGTGAATGAATGGGTGGTCCAGAAATTAATGGAATTGATTATGTGTAGAAAGTAGTGCAAAACCTTCGAGATCCCCCATATATATTATTCACATTGACGCTAATATCACATTTCTGTTACAGATATTGAACAACTTTGATTATTTCTTCACGAGTGTGTTCACCGTTGAAATCGCCATTAAGGTATGTGTTTCCGTTGGAAGCATGTTGTTCCTGGTTTCATTCACAGATGGATATGGTGCTATCCCTGGCCAGGCTGTGACAAACACTGCAGTTTTATATTTGCCTCTAATACAGACAATCTCAATATCCAATGGTCAAAGATTTTACAGTAAAGCCTGTTTAATCCGAACAGCGCGGAAACCAGTGGTCAGATTAGCAGGTGTTCACATTTCAAGGTGAATCAAAGGGAGATGAACAAAATTACAAATTAAAAAAGAAGTTTTCACATAGAAAAATTTATTTGGATTAAGAGGGGTGTTTGGATATACAGGATTTACTATATCCCCATGGTAGACTCACTGATACCTTTTTGTATATTTTCATTAAAAAAATGTGAAGCATAACTTCCATATTAGTTCAAATATTCCTTACACTAGTATAATGATTCTAAAGGTTGACATGGCAACATTGACATTGTCTGTAATAGAACTACTAATAGGTAACCTGAAATCTCCAATTTTGAAATATTTATCTTCAAAAATTTACTCCCCATTTTCCCTTTGTTGTTGTGATTTCTTCATTGTATATAATTTTTCGAACATTTATCACCTAAATAAGAAATTTAAGTATTTATCATTAGTTCATTTCTTTGAAATAGGAGATAAGTGCAGGCTTCATTCTCTACAAAAAAATAATATGTTTTGGTACAATAATGGTCCTTCTGCACATGTGAAATTTTTCATCCAAAACTCAATACAATTATCTTTTTCAGTTGAGACCTGCCTCCTTTGAAAAATCCCAAAACACCGAATCTGTGCTAACATCTTGTGTCCAAAAAGGGTGGAGAACACAATCAGTCATTTTTTGATTTTCGAAATGAATTTTTGTCAATTGTCACTTTCCTTGAAAGCAAAGGGATCTGGTGCAGTTTGGTTTATTAATGGATTTCAGTTTTTGCTTTCGTTTAAGGCGCATGTGCAAAGTTTGTTTAATGAATTTGTTTGGTTAATAATTACCCTGAACATGCATGTAGGCTGATGAGTACCGCTTCAAAAAATGTGTAGTGAGTTTTAATAGCTCTTGATCCAAAATTCCAAATTGACGCTATTTTGCTATATTTGCTAAGATTGGCTACGGGAATGAAATTATGTTCATGGTAGATTAGGTTTGAATTTTAGACAATATTTTCATTTATCTTGACAATGAGGTGCCCCACTGCCCCACTTTTAAGAGAGGAAAACGTGTCAGGAGACAAGTTTTTAGTATTAAAGAATTTTTGATTCACTCGATTATTTTGTCAATATGCTGACATTTTAACACCGCAATACATAGAATTATGAAGTAGAATGATGAATCGACCACTAAATTCCCCTTATTACATCACAGAAGCTCGTAAATGTATCTCGCCTAGATTTTTTGTAAGGGTTGTCAGTCATTCAAACCAGTGCCATATTGGAAAATATCATTGAGGAGTGATTTGCGCAGATTTAAAACTTCTTACTGAAAACATCACTTTTTATCTGCCCTTGAATACCAATAAGATTCCTTTTATGTGTATGATCCATGGAGTTACCCAATGGAATACCTCTCTTCTATGTGATCCATATGTGGAATACCCATACTAATTTATACATTGAAGGGGACTGTTTTTATCAATTTCAGATTTGTTTGTTTGTACAGGGTGAGCCAAATAAAGTTAATTCAAACATTTGTAAAATGGCCATGAAATTATGACCATTTGAAATAGACCAATGAAACTTAGAAGAATGAAAGAGCATTAAACAAGGTTCAATTATGCCTAATATGGCCTAGAACCCTAGTTTGATTATTGAGTAATTATTAAGATATGTATTTGGGTTACCTTTTTTGACTCACCCTGGTATTACACCATGTGCCCATTTTACCATGGTATTCTAAAGCATGGCAGGTTCATATCTGCTGTTGTGTAACATTTAATATAAGCAGCACACACATCATTTAGCCTCTTGTGATCACAACACTCTCTAAACAGAGATATCATGCAATATTCTTTTGATCATGTGACTCAATATCATGATGATAATACAATTAATGTTAATAAAATTGATAGATGGCGTTGCAAATAACAGAAATGGTGAAATAATGCTATATGATTATAACAATTAGTAACAATTGAAGAGATAATTGTTAAATAGGAAAATGATATACAAAAATATTAAAAATGACTGTATTTTGACAATTAACAATGGTAGCCGTCAGACCTAATCATGATTGTCTAGACAATATATTTAGTCATGTCTGTTCTATTTTTCTAGATCATCGCATATGGGCTGATCCTGCATAAAGGCTCGTTCTGTCGGAGTGCCTTCAACTTGCTTGATATCTTAGTTGTAACCGTCTCCTTGATATCCTTCGGTCTCAAGTAAGTACATACATACCTAGAGTAGGCTGTTTGTTAGTACATATGTACCTAGAGTGAACTGTTTGTAAGTACATATGTACTTAAGTGGGGTATTGAAAAGTTCATATGTTCTTAGAGTGGGGTATTTAAAGTACATATGCACCTAAAGTGGGGTATATGTAGGTGCAAATGTACCGAGAGTAATGTATTTATAAGTACATATGTACTTGAAGTGGGACGTTTAGATGGTGAGATGATAGTATCATATCATTGGGTATTGGGAATGCCCAACATCCTGTAAAACTATAGTCTCGCACATATCCCCAAGGAAATGTGAAAGAAAAGTAAAGAGATGACATGGTTTATAACATGCATCTGCGTCACACAAAATGAATGAAGGTTCGACTCAAGTCGAGACATTTCTATGGGTTGTGTGTTCATTTTGTGGAAGGGTTGGATCCACTATTTTAATTTCAATTCTGGACTGACGGGAAATTCTATGTTTATTTGCCTTTGTTTTTTGGAAGGTTTTGGGAAATTTGATATTTTTTATATTTGATTAATATTTAATCTTTTCAAAATTGTCAAAACATAAAACCTATCCATACCACAAGGTCTCTTTCATGTCATTGTATACACTGGTCACTGATATATAAAAAAAACTTGAAATAAATAAAAACTATAAAAAAAACATGGCATAAGATATGAGTTCAGCATTTTCTGAAAGTCCAGAAGTAAATAATAAAGTTTGCTCTGTTATTCTAGATGAGTTATAACATGACATTTAATTCAATAATATAATCAAAGAATTAAATTAATTATCTTATCAATCTAATAATCAAAGTTTGATCTGAATAAAGTTTGCTTGATTTTTAATAAATTGTTTTGAAATCTAATTATTTATATGAATATTTTTCAAATCTATATCTGCCATCTTTCTAAATTCTACTCCAGTCTAACATAATTTAAGTTTAACATTTTGTTAAAAAAAATTTTGTTCCCACATTCTATATTTGATTACAAATATGCTTTATTTGTGTCATCTTGTATTGAATTACATAGATTACAGTACAGGTTCCTGTATGATTATAATTCAATATAAGACCCTTTGTCTTTTTTACACACACCATATGGTACAGTCTGGATGAACTACAAATCATTCATGAGAATCATTCTCCATATTTGGGACGATGGGCAATTTTTTTTCATCTAGGTTCTGTCTATGGTGTATTGCACAAATCTTTATGAGTTTTTTGGCTCACAAAAACATATGAAAATAATGTAGAATTTTGGTGGGAACTTTTGAAAATGTTCTTCCATACTGTGAAGAATGAGTCGAGTATTTATCTGCTTGGAGAATGATATCAGTGACTGATTGGTTTATGACCATATGGTTGCTGTACAAGTACGGCCTCTTGACAAACTTCCTCATCTAAATTCTCTGTTTTCTCTTTTATTTCAGAGGGTAAGTCAGCTAGGTTTGTTTGTATACAGGAGATACATGTAAACTCTCTAGCATTCAGTTACATAAGTATAGTAGTAACCTCTCCATGGGGAAGTTTTGCCACCCTACCAATAAGTGAATTCCAGGTGCTCTCAGCTACATGTTGTCATCACAGTGATCTCCCTAGCATTGAAGCTTTGCATTGAAGCTAGCATTGAGATTTTTGAAGAAGACTTACACCCACCTAAAGAAAACATTTCCACCTACATTTGAAAATGAGAAAAATCATGGCTAATTTTAATCACCTGTCGGGAGAACTGAAATGTGAGTGTTTTTCAACCACTTGAAGAAATAGGGAGATTACTGGATCCTAGTAGCTTGACAAATAGACATCCAAAGACCTGTTATTGGTACAGTCTTAGTACCAATGAGTGCAGTTCTGGTATTCTGCAAATGGGCACAATTCATGTACCCTACCAATTGATAGGTTCTAGATAGCACCCATGATTCCACAATAACCTACCTTGGTGAGATCCTACCAGGAATTCAGTGGGCACCATTTCAGTTCCATCTCTACTGCCCTGCACATCAATTTACAAGATATTTCAAATTATAAATGTGATAACTGAATGCTAGAGTCGCTTTTTCATCCAAACTTACTAGTATTTACATGTATGGTGGTTTGGTAGTTTAAGGCTTGCTTTCCCTGTTTTTTTGCTCATAAATGTTTACAAAGTTGCATAATATTTATTACATTAAGGCTCTCTCTTGAATGACGCTTCCCTGTATTATCATTTACGAGTCCATTAAGGAGCTTTTAGTTTTTGAAGAATATGATTTCAGAATTATAAATCATTTGGCACTTTAAGGTTTTTAGACAGTTTAATTCATTTTTCAAAACATTTTCATTATTTATATTAGATTGAATGAGTACCTTGTCTTCAAGATCTATTCCATATTTAAGTTTTAAATTGTTTATGGCCAAAATATTTTGTTTATTTATTGGAAGGGAGGGAGGGCAAGCTTGATATTTAACCATATTAATAATCTGGTAATGGGCCTGCACTGAGGAGGGGGGGGGGGGGGTAACTCAAATTAACAAATCAACACTTAACTGAGAGGTGTTGCCCATCATAGAATGCCAAGCATTGTTTGAGGCTTATGCATATGTACAATGCTAACAGGACATATGAGCATCTGACGCATGCATGTACAATACACCCTTGCTCTACTATTACTCTTGTATATAGCTGTCACCCATGCTTCTATCTCTTATTGTGATCAAGTGCTGTGCTGAACTACAATGCTGTGCTCCCTAGTGTGCTGTGCTACACAATGCTACAATGTATAGTCACTGTAGATATGACGAATTTGCTTGTAGCTTTTGAATGCATTTGTATAGTTATAGTAACCGAAGTACCAGTTTAAATGCCTACATGTATTTTATAATTAAACAGCATGCACACAGCTATACGTGATAAAAACCACATTAGCAGCACGTAAGTCAACTGGGTGGTCCAAATCAACGAGACTGCACGTTCTTCCGGCTGTCCACCATCTTGTAAACATGTTGTTTCCTCAAACACATTGTATTTTACAAGTTTTTGTTTTATAAAATGTGACATCACAATGGTTTCATTTGATGTCAGTATTACCTGATGTCACTATGAGTATAATTTGATGTCAGCATCAGATATGTTTTGTAGATTTTCAGTCTTCCTTCACTTGAACTTTGTTTTTAGACTTAACTGGAATAATATAACTACATCAAAACTGAGAATATAAATCTAGAATATCTTGTTATTATCTAACCCCCATCTCTTACTTTACGACTAAAACAGTAGAACTTACAAAATGGTTTTCTATTGCTTGGACAAGGAAACAAACTTTGATTCAGAAGAAACTCAAAGTAACTATAAATCACAAGCTATGTTGCTAAGGTGTTGATTCTTGACACATGTCACAGATGACACAAAATCATTCTTTGCCTATGTACAAGCAATACAAAACCAACTCGATACACTTATATTATAAACATTTATTATAAGGAGGTATAGTAAAACTAACAACCATAGATAGACAACTGTATACACTAATTTTGTTGTCAATTTTACTTATATACAGAGATTTGTTTTTTAAATACAATGTTAAGAAATACTGTAGTGTATCTAAATTATTTTTAGACATTGAATTTTCAAGATGTTTTTTGGAAGTTCTGTTACACTATATGCTGGTATCTACAACTTATTTCATTCAAGAAATTATATTTTTCTAGATCTTCCAGTTTATCTTGCATATAATATCAATATTTGGATCAAATCTTATCAAACACAAGATCACACTATATACCAAAATTTTATATTTGACTTCCTTCTTGCTTTCTTCTCACACCAAACTGAGTTCATTTACGTTTATCCTTGGTCATATCATACTTTGTGTACTTTGCCCTATGATGATTTCTCCATAGTTTTTTTGTTAAAATCATTTAAGTCCCTATCATCATTTTGTGGATCTTTTTATGTATCACCAATCATATTCGGTTCACTTAAGTTATTGTATAAATCAAGTCCACATACATGTAAAGTCTTCCACATGAGATTCAAGTAAATAATGTTTTTTAATAAAAAATGCACAACGTTAATGTATGTGTACATGCCTTATAGTATTGTATAAATGATTAAATATTTGTCTAATTGATTCAGTCACTCCCCATAGCCCGGTCCCACTGGAGGGGCAGTAGTGTCATCATGTAAGACCCAGCATCTGTATTACACACTAGTGTGTAGTAAGTGAGTCTCTGTTTTACATTGTAGCAACCAAGCCATATCTGTAGTTAAGATTCTCAGGGTGTTGAGGGTGCTTAGGCCATTGAGGGCAATCAACAGAGCCAAGGGACTAAAGGTATGTAAAATATGGACAGGTACCTTTTTAGCCTACTTATGTAATATATTACATTAAGTTTTTATGTGTGACCCATGAGACAGAGAATGTTAAACTTGTAGTTTAGTTAAATAGCCTCAATATTTTTATTAAAATATATTTCTTGCTGCTCTGTACTGCATTTATATGTAATTATTTAGAACTGTTATATGATCCACTGAGTTAACCATAGCAGGGAGTGATTTCCAGATGGTGATGCCTGATACTGATAGACTACTACACTTCCTGTAGGCAGGGCTACATGTTACATCTAGAACCTTGTATTATATAATAAGGACCAAGAATGACTTGAGTGGATACTCAAGACTTCTCTTGAACTCAAGGCTACTCTGAAATACAAGATCATTCTTGCACTCCAGACCATTTTGACAGTATCTCAGGATTTTAATTTCAGATCATTAATGTTTTCAGCATTATTATCATTTACTTACAGGTATTAATTTTGCGTATTAAAGGCAACCTGACTCAATTATATCTAATGTTCATGTCTATAATTGCTCTATTATGAAATGTACTTTGTTATTTACTACATTAAAGATTTCAATGTGTGATATTTACAGCATGTTGTCCAATGTGTGATCGTTGCCATCAAGACCATTGGCAACATCATGTTGGTCACCTTCCTACTCCAGTTCATGTTTGCCGTCATAGGTGTCCAACTATTTAAGGTAACATCTTAGCTAGAAATCTAGTGTGTGAACCTCCCTCTCTCTGCACCAAAGGGACTACTTATCTAGATGTGTGTACACTGTTTATATGTAGATGGACCTTAATTCTTCTGACTTCTGCCAGAAATAACCTGTTGCCCGATATTTAATATTGAATCTTTAGCATTTTCCACTTTTCCATGTTAATTGTTAAAGTTTATTAGATTCCTATATTGTAGTTTGGAATATAGCTTTCCTGCTTTGTCATGCCGGAAGGGCACTTGCATGATTTCACAGGCAAAGCACGGCTTATCCAATCAGTATTCAGTCGTTCTAAACATGGGATGGCATGAGAGCCAATGTACTCTTTTAGCATTCCAAATGTCCATGTCATATACGGCATGCTTTGGAGATTGCATTCCCAATATTTGGAGAGTACATTCCCAATGTCCATGTTATATACGGCATGATTTGGAGATTGCATTCCCAACTTTGAGAGGACATTCCCAATGTCCATGTCATATAGGGCATGATTTGAGATTGCATTCCCAATTTGGAGAGGACATTCCCAATGTCCATGTCATATACGGCATGCTTTGGAGAGGGTATTTCCCAAGATGCCCTTGTGGTAATTGTTATTGAGCAACACAATTGTGACTACAGAGTGACAGGTTATTTGCTGCTGGTATTGTAGGTTCACCTCCTGACTGCTGAGAAGACACTTTCTCTGGACACCATTGACCATTATTGTATGCACTGCATGTCTTTGACACTCCAATGGACCATTGCTTTAAGAGGTCATCCCATATGCACTCAGTTTGCCCTAAATTCTACAGAGTCAATTTTATAAGAGTTGGTGGGAATGGGGTACTTTTTGAGCTCTAAAATTATTTAAAATATTTTTGTCAACAATTGTTGTTGAGTGATCTTGTAGAATTTAGTAAAGGACTTATGAGATGCATCCCATATGCACTCAGTTTACCCTAAATTCTACAGAGTCAATTTTGTAAGAGTTGGCGGGGATAGGGTACTTAGGAGAATTTTCCGTTTTGAGCTCTTAAATTTTTCAAAATTTTTTTGTCAACAATTGTTGTTGAGTGATCTTGTAGAATTTAGTACAAAACTTATGAGATGACCTTTAAGGACCCAGTTGTTCTAAACTATCACAAGAGTTAGCGATTCCTCTGGCTTGTAACATATTAAGGTAGACAGCATTAATGATGAATGATCTGTAATTCCACTCTGCCTTCCTTGTCATATGTGCTTTGTTCACATAAAGGACTTTAGTATGGTGTATGAACAACTGAACTGGGTCCTGACTAATATCTGAAACTTAAAACACTCTTTGAACCTCACCTCACCTCACGTTAAACCACATCATGTCATTATTCCAAATCAGTCTCAAGATACGGTGTATAAATCATTTGGATGTTTTTATATTAAGATCATTTTACTAAAAATAATAATACTCCTGTCTGATTTCTAATTCATCTGAGTTTAACACAAGTTTCAAACACCTTCAACAATTAGCTCTTTTTAACAGTGATTGTCTAAGTATGTTTTCCCTCAATGCCTTGAGCCAAAGACCGAATAAGAACCTTTTCCACAATTAAAACATTGTTATTGTGTGGCAGTAGGTAAGGTGAGGACCAAGAGTGTCTAGACATTAGACAGTAAACCAAGATTTTGTGAAAAACCTGTAAAGATCAAACTTTGATTTGATAAAATTACAAAGCCTTGGTTGATGCAGATATTCATTGGAGTGCCCATAGTCTTAGCCTGGCCCAGAGCGCCATCTATCTGTTGTTTCATGTTTCAAAAGTGTGACACCCAGATGCACATATAATTTCAGCATGTAGTTCAATGTGTGATAGTTGCTGTAAAGACTATCTACAATATAATGCTCATCACCTTCCTGCTACAGTTTATGTTTGCTGTAATAGGGGTTCAGTTGTTCAAGGTAGGTCCCTGGCCCACTCAGACAACATACAATAATTTTACAATCTCGAACTGGCACCCTGGATGATTTAGTTTCAGTGGATTAGATTGAATATGCCTATAATAACAAAAAGTTCATCATTTGACATTGGTGCCTTTTTGGAGTCACTTTGACAGGAATGTTAAAGAAATTTAAAGTTCTCAACATCCTTTTAAATAATTAATAAATGAATGAGAATTTCCAGATAGTTGGATCGTTTGAAATAAGCCTACCCTGCCAATTAAATATGTACCCCAAATAATCTCATGCATTATCAGATAGAATGCAACATAGTACAAAAAGGGAATTTATGTTGAACTATTGTATACACAGACAAGGACTGAACATTGAGATGTTTAGTGCATATTGGTGCTTTAAGTTCAGATACCTTGGGCATGTACATAGCTTAATAATACAAATCTACAGAGTTCTACACTCGATAAGAAATATGCGCATATACTAAAGTATTGTTTTTACGTATATACCATACATACAAATGTTACTTTACTGTAAGTGACACTGGTTTTACGCACAATGAAACGCTATCTGCTGTTGATCTATCTTCTGTGTTATGTAGGCACAAACATCTTTAGACTTTAAAATTCCCGATGAAAACATATTTTCTCTCTTTCAATGCACAAACTACATTTCCCACTGTTCTATCACTGAATTCAATTTCCACGGTACAATGAGCACATAAACTTGAACATTAAAACATATTCATTTCTACTATTTTGTTTAGATGTTCGTAAAAATTATTTGATGTTTAGTATATGTTCTATATTTTCCTGTATTATTATAGTACCCCAAACAAATTAACATGCACATTAGTCACTAATATGAACCCAAATGTTCCATTAACCTACGATGAATGATATACAGTAGTTACATGTACAGTGTTAATTATAGTGATAGATAAAAAACAAAAAATGTGTCTAGGATTTCATTCCAATACATAACTATAGCAATTACACATGAACTGATAATCCACAAGAATCTTGGCATCCATGCATATTTATGTGTCAAGCTTTTGAAAATTAAATATATTTTGCTCTATGGAATTTTCATTTATTTGGGATTGATGATCCTATTGAATGCCATATGAAGGTGGCATAACAATTATTGTTTTTTGAGTAAATCATTTTCAATGTATTATTATGCAGGGTCGATTTTTCTCCTGCTCGGACCCATCTAAGTTAACCGAGAGTGAGTGTAAGGGGAAGTTCATTGTCTATGAGGAGGGGGACATCAACAGAGCCGTAGAAAATGACAGAGAGTGGACTAACTACGAGTTCAACTTTGATGATGTTAGCAGGGGATTGCTCACTTTATTCACCGTCGCCACCTTTGAAGGATGGCCTAAGTAAGAGTTTAAATAAAAATATTTAAATCAAATGTACATGTATATTAAACTACTTTTAAATGAAACTCATTTCATTTAGTTCTACTTCATTGTTATCCAAGTCTTCCATCTGTGACCATTTTAACATACTCACACAGGTTCTAACCAGACCTTCTGATACCTTGAGTTTACTCGACAGTACTATAGAGTGTATAAAGGTAAGAAAATTGTGTATGTGTATTAGCAAACTCAGTGGTATGATCTGCTCACATTAGAGTCCTAAATGCTCATAGTATGTTGAGGTTTGGTTACTACCTGTGATTCTGGACTTTTTCCTTTGCAAAAGAGAAATATGTGATAAAGTATCAAAATATACATTGTTTTACTACAAGTATATTGTGATGTAACCTTCATTGTGTTTTACTTACAGACTGCTGTATACCTCTATAGACTCCCATAATGAAGATTTTGGGCCCATATACAACTATCGACAACCCATTGCAATTTTTTACTTCACCTATATCATCGTCATCGCATTCTTCATGGTCAACATCTTCGTAGGTTTTGTTATCGTCACCTTCCAGAATGAGGGGGAACAGGAGTATAGAAACTGTGAACTCGACAAAAATCAGGTTCGTTCTATTTCATACAAAATGTAAGATTCAAAATTTCAATATTTTACTGCAGTTGACTGACTTATTACTATGATTATCTTCCAGCGTAAATGTATAGAGTTTGCATTGAAAGCGAAGCCTGTTAGGCGGTACATCCCCAAGGCCCATTTCCAGTACAAGGTCTGGTGGTTTGTCACGTCACAGCCATTTGAGTATGGCATCTTCGCATTGATCATCATCAACACCATTACACTTGCTATGAAGGTTTGTGCAATTTTGATTATACTGCCATTTTTCTCTGAAATCAAATTTATTAAATGGCTATTTAGTTTGACTTGTCATTCTGAAATCTTCTCATTTTGAATATTATTTTTATTGATAGTTGTCATTGTCATTAAAGGGCCAGGTCACCTGGTAATTTTTTCCGAAATATTTTGCCAAATAGACTATTGATCTGTAGGTATTATTTTATTTATCAAAATGATGCCAATGTCATGTTATAACATACTTTCCTGCAATCAGAATTTGACTGTAGTTTCTGTTTACATCTGCATTATATTGTATATTCATATAATTACAATTATTAGCAAATATTATTCATAATTGTAAGTCATTCATGAAGTATCTAATACTAGTATTCTGTTTTCATGACAATCGAATCACATGTATTTGTTATGTTTATTATTTTTAGCAATGACGTGATTGACATCTGACCTGTCAGTACAACTCTATTCATTGTTCTATGTTAATGTTACATTTCAGATACCAGCTCATTACATGTCCTGTGTCCACTATGAAGTATTATTACCTCCGCAGATTGATCAACATCAAATCATATTTTGCATTGACCAGATATTGACCCTCATTATGTTTTACGTCAGTTGTTTAATGACCCATCGTAAATAATTGTCCATTAGGGTGTGTATTTTTGTACAAAAATGCTGGGTTTGTTCAAACTTCTTAGATGACAAATCAGATGTTGGATCTGGCATTTTTATTGACAAATTACCATCATGTTATACTATGTCACCACCACAAGTGACATATTGTTAAATCTCTAACTTATTTGTGGTCAGTGTCCGATGGTTGGTGTTCGGCAGTTGGTATTTAGCATTTGTAATAAATGGCAGGTGGTGACATTTTGCATGTTAATGCTTGTTTATTTATATATAATGACTGATATGTATGCATGTTCTCTATTTATTCATGCAGTACCATGGGCAAGGAGATACATATTCATCAGCGTTAGACTACATGAATATGATCTTTACTGGTGTCTTCGCTATTGAATTTTTGCTCAAGTTACTAGCGTTCCGGTTTAAGGTGAGTGTTCAATGGAGCACAACGCGATCATCGTCATCTGACATCATGGGTCTAGTGGACTCTGCCCTCTATATGCTATATCCTATATATGTATGTATAGGCCTACATGTATTATAATACGGCACTGTGACGGCACATAGCTTCATCATTATCTCATTTATGAAATGTTGCTATGTGCCAATGCAGTGCGTGTCCCTCTCTATTCTTGCATCTTTGTCTGTGATTGCTCTTTGTTACAACTCTTGTTTTACATCAGGAAGATGCGCTTTACGTAACAAATGGCATATCAGGCCAAGCTCATTTACATGTATAACTCTGCCTTTGTGTACAGTGTACACTGCTGTACTGTGTGCCTGATGTACTTTTGTACATTTTACTATGTGTTTTACAGTATTGTGTGCATGTACGATGTACTTTACAGTATATTGTACACCATACTCTGTATTACATGTAACAGCATATTGTAATCTGTGTCTTACAGTACAGTGCACACTGTACACTGAGCCATTCATTTTAGTATACACTGTATTTTGTGCCTTTATGTATATATTGTACACTCTACTATGCTTTGAAGGTCCATAAGCTAAGACAATACATCACAATACAATGCATTTGCTCAATCAATAGTTTATGATTTAATTCATCAACCAATCAATTGATCAATTTTATGATTATCAATATGATGTGATCTAAGTCTCAGCTTTGGATAAGTCACTTTATTGTAGATATTGCTTCTAGTACACAGCTGTTCTGTAGTACATATACACAGCTGTACTACTGCTCTGTAGTACATATACACCACTGTACTGCTATTCTGCTGTTTTGTAATACACATACACGTATGTACTGCTCTCCCCTTGTTTTGACTCTATGCCCCACTATCCCCCAGTCCAATTACATTTATTATATACAGGAAATAATCACATTGTCATTTTTTTATTTAGTATTATGGTCAAGGGGAAGCATATTCTCAAGGCCTGGATTATCTCAACATGATTTTTACGGGAGTATTCACTCTTGAGTTCATTCTCAAGTTTATGGCATTGAGGTTTAAGGTTCGTCTTTTGGAAGGCATGTGTTCTTACGATTATTACTACTCCATTGATATTTCTCCCAAGTTTCTCTCAGGTTGCTCATCATATTTAACATGTACTTAGGCACATGGCTTTACATGTACTGAAACATTTGGCTTTACATTTGCTAAGACATTTGTGTTTATATGTACTTTAACAAGGGACATTACATGTACCAAGATATTTGTATTTACATGTTCTTTGACAAGTGACCTTACATGCAACAGGACATTTGTATTTACATGTTCTTTGACAAGTGCCTTACGTGCAACAGGACATTTGTATTTACATGTACTTTGACAAGTGCCTTACGTGCAACAAGACATTTGTAATTACACGTTCTTTGACAAGTGAATTAACATGTGCTTAGTCATTTGATTTCACATGGTCCAAAACATTTGGCTTGACATGTACCTTGACAAGCAGCTGTATAAGTACATTGACACTTAACTTTACATATACACAGACATGTATCTTTGCATTGTGAAGGCTCGAGACTTGACATGTTCTATACAAGTGACCCAACATGTACTTGGACAAATGGCTTCTAATGTACCTAGTCAAATGGCTTTATGTTTACATGTGTCAAAGCTAATGCCTTTGTTTAACTTGCCTAAGCTTCTATTTTACCAATAACTTGTTACATTCCATTTTCTCTCAATATGATATGAGTTGCATTATAATCTTTACATTGGCGCATCATCTTTCTAATTGAAAAAGAGGTGTGTCCTAAGCTCAGATAATAATGATATGTTCAATGTTTATAATGGGCAGACAGTTCACATTGTTACCTTTATAATGGTTGTCTAAACATGAGACTACCTGTTTGAAAGATTATAATGCAACTTTTATATCCTAATATTGGGGTGCTTTATGTTACATCCAGTTTACCATTATATTTCCAAGCTTTTAAATGACATCCCTTGGCTACTAGTATTTCTACTCACCATGACTCACCTATTTTACTCACCTGTTTAACCTTATATTCTGTTCTTTTTACCTAATTCGCTTTATAGGAGATGAGTGTGTTCGAGTGAAGCGACTTCTGATATGCAATCAGGTGTTTGAGTTAAGCAACCACTGATATGCAATCAGTTTTGATCAGATAACCTTGTATTCGCGAATACAACTAACGTCTGTCTGCTACCGGATTAACCTACTATTTTACAGGTAACTCATTTAAATATGAACAGTACCTGCCACTTTCCATTCATATTTAAATGAGTTGACCATAAAATAGTAAGTTAATCCAGTAGCCTACAGGCGTTAGCAACGTGAATACAAGCTAAGTCTGGAATCTTCGTATCGAAGGATATGTAGCTTGTATTTCAATTGATACACACTCATCACTCTATCCAATGCTTCTCTGTTCTTTAGTACCATGGGCAGGGAAAGAGCTACTCCGACTCTTTAGACTACATGAACATGATTTTTACTGGTGTTTTCGCAATTGAGTTTGGCCTCAAAATAATAGCATTTAGGTTCAAGGTTAGCCCCATTTTGATATGCAGTTTGAATATGCACAAAGCGAGACACAAGTAGTTAAGTCACTTAGTATTTTTTCTTATGATTTACCTATTGTATAGTATGCATTTTGGATGGTTGTCATAAAGGTGTCATATAATGTATCATGTATAGCTATAGTTAGAAACTCATTATTTAGCATTTTGTTAACTTTACAAACTCATCTAGTTTATTTCCATTATTTCCATTACAAATGCATTGCATTTTATCATTGGAGTTTAGCTATTATAGTATCACATTTTCAGTAAAGATCCTACATCATCAAAAACATTTTTTATATTTTATGATTTCCTGATCTACAAGCTTAGTGCATACTGCATACATATGAAGTCATGGTTTATGTTTAACTTTATCAAGCATGTTTTTAGTTTTCCAAAATCATCTCATTCAATCAAGATTATATCATTTAAGTCTTAAATTGTCTTTGTATGTTATTTGTTAATTTGTCTGTTCTTGATCTCAGCATTCGCTTGCTTGCCAGAATTTCAGCAAAATCAGTGTTTCAGTCAGGTATTTTTGTGGATACTTTGTGAAAACGTTCCATTTATGTTTGAGCCTAAAAGAGATTAAAGGATAGTAAGGGGTATGTGGATCTTACCTGCATGACTCGAACTATATTTCATTGCGATAGCAACAAGCCCTCTAACAAATATATTTGATATTTTTATGCATGTCATCTAATACTGAAAATATTTCATAATAATTTGGTTCATAGAAAAGGGCATATTCTTGTACAGAAACTAATAATCTTAATGATACACATGAATACATTGTTGTAATATGCATGAAAATATATTTTTATCATTAATATGAGTATTTTTATGTTCATTTAAAAGTAAAATCAGAAAAGGGAACAACATTTTTTTTTGAACATTTAAATTAGTTTTCTGTATTATTAATTTATGACACATACATATCACCCGTATTGCAGCTTTGTAGATTCATAAATATTTAAGAATAGTTTTATATCAAGATTTAGTGAAAATTATCTACATTTAGTTGAATCAAGTATTACCTTGTTTATGCATGTATACGTCAAATGGTTCAGGGTGTATTTAATGTTTTTCCAGAACTATTTTGGGGATGCTTGGAACGTCTTCGACTTCATAATCGTATTAGGCAGCTTTATAGATATAATCTATACTGAAGTCAATGTAAGTATGCTAATGAGAACATAACATAAATACTAGAATTTAATAAAGTCTATCTTAGAAAATGTTTGTTAAAATATTTGTAATTCGCACCTGGTGGTCCCAAAGGGTTCAATTTTTGGTCCCCAATTATTTATCTTTTTTAAAGATTTTGGCTTACTATCCCAATTTGAAAAAAATCATTCTGCTTATGTGTTTAAAATTACATAGATATATCATTCCATCACATGGGTAATTTTATGAATATGCTTGATTCAGGAGGTTGCTAATTATTTGAACGATATAATCAACTGAAAAACAACTCTTGATTGTTTGATTGTCTGATTAAGTTTCTTATATTTCATAATTTTTAGCTTTGTCTTTTTATTGATCTCGATGCATTCTTTTGGCTGGCAATCATTTATTTTGCTTTTGCCTGTATTGCTTTTGATCTAAGTCAAGATAGGATATCTGATGAATGCTGTATAAGCAGTCTGAGAAATATAGGATCGTTTGTTTATCTACCTTTGAACTATTTTACCATTTAGTACCACATACTAGAGCCCTACTGTTAGAACTGCACAAACTCACTGTTGAACCACCATCTTTCAAAACTCGCCTATTGTACCTTTTGTTTGAACAACCTCAGCTTTTTGATACTCTATGTAAAGGTTTAATAGAAGATAGATCCCCTCATATGTCTCAGTGTTTTCAATACCTTCATGTATGATCTTGTCTTCAAACAGTGCTCTTTTATTCGGTACTTTACGGTACATGTATAATTTTTGCTTACTCACTACTCCTTGAATGGCTTATTTTATACATTTTTTATTCTGAATTTTAGAAATGAATTGCCGATATACCACATGCATTATTTTTGTCAAATTTCTGTAACTTGTTATTTTAACTTTATTTGCTATTTATCCCTCATTATGACTTATATAGGAATTTCAAATGAAATTGTAGATGTTTAAAATTGACAAAACCCCGATTTTATTTTTGTATTCTGTCCTTCTGCTTTTTCAAAAAGTGACTATTTATATATTGAGAGAATTTTTTGTTTTCTTATTATCCCCTTCTTTCTTCAAAACTGATGAAATATAATACGGTCCACAATTTAATAATACTAAAAATTCTCCACCCTAGCTTCACTAGATATTCAGAGCTAGAAGTTTATTCAATGTTTTGTTTCTAACTTGTTACTTTATTGCTCCTCTATTCATTCAAAGTTTGAGAAAGATGGGAAAAAGGTAACTCTGACTGCATACCTTATTGTGTAAATCTACATGTACTGTAAATGTTTGTTTTTTATTTATATTTTTGTTCATTGATTGAATAAGAGGCTAGAACAGTCAATCATTTGTTATGTTACCCTATGGATTGAATGCTTCATTGTATGATACAGTATTTGTAAAAATTATTTATTGTTATCAGTTTAGACTGTAGCAAGACTCATCAACTGCGATGTTGTTTTGTTCAAATGTAGTAATGCACTGCGCCCTCTATTCAAAGCTGTTATAATCAATATCTAGCACGGAACTTCATCTATTTTAGTTACAATATTACGAATCGAATATTAACTTCAGCTTTTTTAGCCTCTTATAACATGTCACATATACCCAAATACGCAGCAGATGTGTCATGTTGGGAATCATGGGATTGATGTGTAACCTCTTGTATTTAATCATCCTTTGTAAACCATGTCTTCCCAGGCCCCTAGATCACCCTGTGTAACATTGTATGTAGCACCAATGTTGCCTTGATGCATGTTTACAGGGATAAAGACTGACTGAAATTGAACAAGTTGATGAGTGCTTCCTGATTTTGATTCTAACTCTCTGTTCCAAGGTTACTCATACCCTATATAACATGGGGACACTGGGATTGCTAATTTGTGCAACAATTTTAAGAAATTTGTTTGTGTTAGATTTTAATGAAAGTCAGTCTTTTTACCCATACCATTCCCAATCAATGTTGTGGAGGAATATAGCATAACAACAACATAACAACATGAAATCAACACTATGGTACATGACAAAAAACAAGATCCATATGAATTTCCAAATGACTTGTACCTGAAATATACTCCGTGTCATCCCATGCTGATTTAGCTAGGCTGGCATGAGCTTAGGACAGAATAGACCTGCATTGTAGTATATGAATGAAATCAAGAGCATTCCAGGGAGTCAGAGCATGGTAGTTATCCTGCACATTTTAACCCATTGTACATCATTCATATCATTCTTCCATTCCAGTACTACAAGTTTGTACATAACCTGCAAGAAGAGGTGCTAACAGTTCATTAGATTCAACTACACATTTGACACTTTATTTTAGATGTTCAGATCAATGGTTTAATTGAGGATAAACTTCAATCTAGTTATTCAAATGCATGTATTAGAAGAGATACGGCACGTGTTACACATATACATATCATTTGAAACTGAATTCAGAAAAACAATTTTAATTTTCCTATTCTGAGCAAATTAATTTTAATGTAATCACTTTTGAGAATTGCAAGTAATATGGTTTATCTGGCTTTTTTGTGTTTTTCTATGGTTTCCCTTTGTGCTGGCCAAATATTGTGCATTCGTTATATTATTATCATTATTTGCCTTTCTACAGAGAAGGACGAAGGTTTGTAAAATTTGTTTTATTTCACGGAAGATTGTTTCGCTGTCACAGATTGCGGTATAACGGGATAAGCTTTTTTATATTGTCAAAAAATCCGTTTTTTATTTCATATATTAGTTGGGAAACATGTTTTCATATGATACCCAATTTTTGAATTAACTTTTGACCTTATTTCATACATTTTGAACATGTATACACAATGAAGGCTTTCATTGTCGAAATACTTTTAAAAAGTAAGAGACCTTTATCCTGCATGAATGTATATCAGGGTGGCATTTTTGAAATGAAATATTTTGTTGGATAATGTTTCTGTCAGTTTATTGGAAATGGGTTACTTTTAAAATGAGAAAATTGTAAAGTGGTTTGGCACGAGTGAAGGTACAATAAGGGTTGAAACAAAATGATAATTGTTGCAATTTTTTTTTTTTAATAATTGAATTTTGAGTTTAGCATGGCATGTTTGCATGAATGATGCTTGAGCACCAAAAAGTGTGATATTAGCACTAAATATCATTGAATAGAACCAAATATCACTGAAGTACAAATATACATTGAATATACAATGACGTTGAATATGCAGTAAAATGAATTTTGAATGTTCATTTCAAATAATATTGAAACATTACCAGTATATAATTTATACATTCATTGTTAATTAGAATAGATTATTTAAAATTTAATATTTGAAAGTGACATTTCATTGGTTAAATGATACTGATCAAGACCATAAATCATTAACTCAGGTGCACCATGGGATTTCTCCTCCTGTTTTGTGATGAATGTGTATTTGATGTACATTAAAAGATTTGTTGTCGATGTAAGAGTAAACATTAAACACGACAAATAAAAATTATGCAATATTTCTGTTTGAAAATTGAGATAAAATGAAATGAACAAATATTTTTATTAAAGAACACATGCAGGGTACTGCATTATTACATGTACCCAGTACAATGTGGTATTGTTGTCTTGTATAGATGGACACCATCTGAGACTCATTATCATCTCATGTTTCAATTAGCGAATTCCATATGAACATTATAAACAGCTTTGTTTCTCTCTGAGCTTTATCAATCGTGATCACATGGGCATGTTCAGACTCGTTCAAATGCCAGGTTTGAAAGTGTGTTTAGACTTGATATGGATAGATACAACCCACCAGACGTTGTATTTGAAAGAATCTGGAATCATCCATGTCGACAGAGTGTTATCCCAAGCTATGTTGGACCTGCAGTCATATGCTCATATAATCCAGATTTTCAATTGCTTAAATAATCAAGCTTTGATATTAATTGAGGCGAAATTGATCAGCTTACGGTATGTAGTACTAAACTACTAACACATCATAACCCTTTACATGTACATGTTTTCTTTGATATTATATTATTCTCCACTGATATGACATGTGCCCTGCGTGAGACTCTGTGTTAACATAATCCATGTTTTCTTATTCTATGTACATGTACGCTCTTCTTTGTTTAATTTTATTATTACATGCGCATGTCTCATTTTACAGCCTGGGTCGAGCATCATCAGTATCAACTTTTTCCGGTTGTTCCGTGTGATGCGATTGGTTAAACTGCTGAGTAGAGGAGAGGGTATCCGAACTCTGTTGTGGACATTCATTAAATCATTTCAGGTAAACAGCTATACTGTATTGTATACTTGTCTCTCTTAACTGTGTGACTTTCTCCCTTTGCAGCCTGGCGCTAATATGTTCTCCATCAACTTTTTCCGTTTATTCCGTGTGATGCGATTGGTTAAACTGCTGAACCGTGGGGAGGGTATACGAACGTTATTATGGACATTCATTAAGTCGTTCCAGGTAACACCTAGTTGGCGCTAGCCCGTCAGTTGGTACTGTAGGCCATAGAGATCATGTAGACAGACATTAGGGCTTCAAGCCTAGCAGAGTGTAGATGTTATGTTACAGTTGTTGTCATGGTAACTGGTAGCTGTAACTGACATTTTAACCAAGTGCCGTGAGACATCAAAATTCCATCAGCTCCATCTATCCAGAGGCATGATAAACCAGCTCTCAATGAGGGGGACCCTCTTCATATAGACCATCAACAAATTCATTTTTAGCATTAGCAAACTCATCTTTATCTTTTCAACCTGCTGCCTTTCCTTATTTATTTCTCATCCATATATGGGCTCAGTTATACAAAAAATCTGCACTGTGTTATACAGTGTGGCATTGTTCGTGAAACTGACCCCTGATTTCATAGAATATCATCAGTATTTTGTAGTTGCTTTTTTCCTGAAAATTTCAATATTCTTCAATCAATAATTCTGAATTACTATGGGGTTATATTGTTCCATTATTTTTTTATTTAGACAATTTTTAATACAAAATCAATCGCTTCTTTGGACCTTTCATTGAAATATTTAATTCATCTCAATGTTAAAATGCAATCATAAATCCGTGCTTTCCACTCTGGAACTAAGCTATCATTCATTTCATCTCCATTTCTTCTCAGTCGTTTAATGTTCCTGGATTATCCCATCGAAGGTGCACTTCCTCAAGGCTTAAAGCACTCATCTTGTTATTCTATGTGTATGTCATTGTCAATGTATTCGTTTGTTATTCATTGTTATGCACATTTGTTTTAAGGCACATTGCATTACATGCTCATTTGCACAATGCTGTTCATTTGGTCTGGTGGACGTATTGGACTGGTGTACCGGACAAACGTGCATAAGGATTTATTTGTCAAATTCATTGATTTTGAAATTTTGTGGTTTCGGTTTTGTTCTGATACAGTTTAATTGGCTAATATAAGGAGAACAATTTTTGTCAGAACATATGTGTTGTCTGGAATTAAAATATATCAATCTTTTATGTTTGAATACGTTAAGCAATATTGAAGAAAAATGTTTAAGATAAGAGACCACATTGTTATTACCAAAATAATTTCATTAAATAAAACATTTGGAAAAAATGGGTATACCAAAAACATGAATCCCTTTCACTAACTTTACAGCTTTTTCAACTCATTTTGTGTTTACAAAGAGCAAGGCCATGCAAAGAACAATTATACTGAAATATCAGCAATGTCTGCCCACTCAAATAATAAAAGAATTTTGAAAAACGACCTCCCAGCAACAGAAATCTTTGCTTCTACGTGTACACATTGAGATAATCCAAAAACAAGTTTATTGCTCAATTTGAAAAAGTGAAAATTAAAATTTTATGAGAATAATTTTTAACTCCATGGAGATAATCAAAAATGCAAAAGGCATATTTTGAAATTCTAAACTCATCCAAACCCTGTGGGCTATATAAACAAGATATTGACAATAAATGTAAAAGGTTGTTCTCCTTATTTGCTGTGGCCCTTTACTGTACGTTACCAGAGTTGCTCAGTTTTATCCAAGTTTAATTTGTTAATTGTTGATTTGTCGAATATGGTTTCATGTTTGAGAGTTGAAAGTTTTGAGGAAGTGGCACCTGATATTTGCATGGTCTCACTTGTGTGCTTAACCCCTCTCCATATAGATACACTTTGTGGCAATCTACCAGGATGAGCAAAAATGAATAATGTTCAAAACAAATTTTGTAAACAAATTTTGTAAAGTGCAAGTGTCTCTCAAATAACATTGCAGTGATTGATTCTTAGTTTTTTGCATTTAGGTAGAAATTTTGAGATTGCCACAAAGATGTAGCAAGTGTCTGCCACTAACCAGTTGTTTCTTTATTTTATGCTGTGCTGTGGGTGCTATCTGTGTCAGTGACACATATGTGTATATATCATGATTTGTGCTCTGGGGATTTTGTGTCTTTTCTCCCCTCTTACCCTGATTCACTTCAAGCCAACATTTCGACATAACATTCAAAAAGGTTCACCGTGGTGTTATTTTTTCCAGCCATTTATCACTTAATGGTTTTGTCCCCATTTGCTTTATGGTATTTGGAGATATTAGGAGAAAATTATAATGACAAAATCAGAGACAAAACCAAATTGTTTTCATTTCATTTGATTCAACTGCAACTCCCTTATGACCCTTTTATTCCTGAGAAATCTCCTGGGGTAGAGACATCATTTGATCTTTTGTTAGTGACCTTTTTTTATTATTTCAATGCCCAAAATGGCAAATGTTAGATTTTCATTTGAACTTGGTTGTTTGCTTGGTCCTTGTTTGCTTTGTTGCTTGTTTGTTTGCTTGGTGTACCGTATCATGGACATAGACATATATCATATATTGTTATACCCTCAAGACCCAAATATCAGGGAGGGTGAAGCTTCAAGGTATCACAATTGTCAACTGATTTCAATCCATGTTGTCTGTTTACTTCTTATCCCATTGTGTATGAATAAAGTTCATGAGGGATATAGGGAAGCCTTCCTTGCAACCGTGAATTTTTTACTTTTCAAATTATACTATTATGATAATATGTGTTTCACATTTGTGTTATCTTGAAAGTGTTATATTGAAAATGAGGAATTGTTGGAATTTAATGTCCAACAATTTAAGAAAATGTATTTTGTTTATTGGGATTTGCTACTCCCTCGAGTTTTCCATTTTCTCGTTCACCCCCATTGGTATCATATTTAAATTTCAGCATTTGTCAAAGAGGAAGTTACTTTACATTTAATAAAAACTATCCGTCTCTTATTTAATTTTTTAATGCCAAATATGGAAACTTGTTTCACATTTGTTTTAGATTTTCTCTTTATGCCTCGGCAAATGTTGATATTTAGACATCTTTCTCTATGCTTGGCTATTTTGATACCTTTCAGACTTCAAGTTCTCCCCTAAGTTCAGTTCTATTTCAGTTCCCCCGAGAGCATATGTTATTTTATGTGCGATAATAAATGAAGGGAACAACATTTTTCTCCTGAAACAACTATGGGTTTGCTCCTGGAAAATGGGTTTACTAAAAAATAATGGGAAATAGTTGATGATTCGTGAATGAATCTTGCATTAGAAGAAACTGTTTAGAGACATCATTTTTGTTGTGTCTTTCTATTTCAAGGATAGAAATAAAGTTCCCATCTTAATTTCTTTTGTAGATGCATGTGCATATGATGTAAATGCTATGTATTATACATGAAAAATATATTGTACATTAAAACAATAAAATTATAAATATGTAGACTTATATGTATGTAACGTTCATGTACATCACTCTATTGTAATATTAAATGTTATAAATGCACCTAACATCAAATAATTTGGTAGAAAAATATAAATATCATCTGTATGTTAATGGTGAGTTTTTACAAATTAATCACTTACCAATTTTTAATTGTTATTATGTACTCAACAAGAGTGAATTAGAGAAATACAGTAAAACCTGTTTGACTCACTAATTTACTCAATGTGAATTTTTTGGTCACATATTTTTTCAATTTTTCAATTTATTCTCATTTTCAAAAGGTGAACTACTAATCCAATCACTATCATCTGGCATTAAGAGCAGACAAGTTTTACTGTAGTGAAAATAAAATCCATGTATTGAATTGCTCAAGAATGATTTTCATTTGTTTTTCATGAATGTTGTTTCTTGTTTTAGGCTCTACCTTATGTCGCACTGCTGATTGTTATGCTGTTCTTTATCTATGCAGTTATAGGGATGCAAGTATGTATTTTGTTTGATTTATCTCATTGGGTTTTTGAGGGATATCACTTTTATGCTATCGCCCTCGGTCAATATGCTAGTTTCCTTGGCCAATATCATATTTTCCCTTGGAATAAAATTCATATTCCATCCGTCCCATTAAATAACCTCTATATATCTCAGGGTTTTTGAGGGATATCACTTTTATCCTTGAATGGATATCAACCATCCCCATGGGTGTGGGGAGTGAGTTGAAAAAGGATATATCCCAGAGTACTGCCCAAAATACCAACTTGCAAAAACCTTCAAAATAAATTATGGCTGTCAAATGAAAAAACAAATTTCTCATGTATTACTATTTAGTGAATAATACAGAGTAGAAATTATGGGCACAAATAATGAACATTTTTTATTGTAATGAAATATAGTGATTTTTATGTTTATAGTTCAAGTTAATTTAAGATTTGTTTTGTTAAATAAATTAAATTGATATTTCCATTTCCAGATGTTTGGAAAGATCGGTTTGGATCCTGACACATCCATTCATAGAAATAACAATTTCCAAACATTCCCACAAGCTGTATTGGTGCTATTCAGGTACAGTATTGGTGCTGTTTAGGTACAGTTTTGGTGCTGTTTTCCTAAACAGTTCTATCATGTTAATTTCATATGTGCCACATCTGTTCACATCACTGTAGTAATATTGCTATTCATTCTATGGCAAACCATTGTACATGACATCGCTATTTTTTGTCCACATACTGCACTTTGGTGAAGAAAATTTGTTGGAGTCCTTCCTAGCCACAATCGGAATACAGGATCAGAAACACCTTTGAAAAATCAAAACCGTTTGAAAACATTGGAAAAGAGAGAAACTGGAACTATTCTTAAATCCCCAATTGAGCTAACCTGTTATAGAATACAGAGTGGTCGTTGTACTTACACATGTATACATTTAATTATTGTATTTCAAACTGTGCATTATCTCATATTATAGGTCAGCTACTGGAGAGGCGTGGCAAGATATCATGCTTCGTTGCAGCACTGCATCTGCAGCGTGTGACGCACGCTCTGATGATGGTGTTAATAAAGGCTGCGGTACATGGTTTGCCACTCCCTACTTCATCTCTTTCTACATCCTCTGCTCATTTCTGGTAAGGAACATTATAATGTGTAAGAATAGGACAGTGAGCCTTAGGTAGAAAAAAATAAGCCTGAGAATAGCACAAAAAGCCTAAGAATGGGATGATAATTGATTAGTCTAAAATAATACAGTTAGAATAAGAATATAACAATTGGCCTAAAAATAGGAAGTTAAAGTAATAATAGGATTTTTAAAGTAAAAGTACTAGAAGTAGGACTTTTTGTACAAGTGCCTCTTTTTGTAAAAGGGCACTTGCGTCAATCAAAATCAAGTTTACCTTTAATGATTGTACAGTCATTTATTTATTAATTTTTCAGATCATCAATTTATTTGTGGCTGTCATTATGGACAATTTTGACTACTTAACGCGTGATTGGTCAATCTTGGGCCCACATCATCTGGATGAGTTTGTGCGGCTGTGGTCAGAGTACGATCCTGATGCCAAGTATGTCACAGTTATTTAAGTCTTGTATTTCCCCCCTATCTATATGAAAAATATGCCTCTGTATAAAATTTTACAATTTATGTTGAAAAATTAATAAATATAAGCAAAGTGACAGAAAAACCTGTTTTATTTATACATGTGAAATTATCACATCTGTTTCTCAGGTATACAAGATAATAAAACATGGAAGAATGTGCAATTAAAGCTAATTCTTATGATTCTAGTGCATTTCCTCTTGTGTCTGCATTTCATCTCAGTAATAATTTCTCAGTTAATGTCTTTGTAGTAAGATTTATATCTTCAAAATTGTACAGAGTGTCTTTAAGTTTTCTCTGCACATATTTGTCCATAGGGGTAGAATCAAACATCTGGATGTGGTTACCTTACTGAGAAAAATATCCCCACCTCTGGGCTTTGGCAAGCTCTGTCCTCATAGAGTTGCTTGTAAGGTAAGATCTCAGCATATAACTTTCATGATAGAATCTATATTTTATTGATTAGTCTATGTGTGAATTGAGCATGTTGCAAAAAATGATATTACTTCATTGGTTATTAATGAATTCAGCATGCATTTAAATTTAAAGAAACATAAATTTTATGGAGTGAATTATATTTAATATTACAGGACATATTAGGAGCTAATGCATTTTCAAATGTACCAAAGATTCAGCAGTTTTTATGGAATAAATTATCTTTTCAAAACAAAATGGATGGTCTGAAAAGGGGTACTCATTTTCTATTTCAGCGGCTGGTTTCAATGAACATGCCTCTGAACAGTGATGGGACAGTAATGTTCAATGCCACATTGTTTGCCCTCGTCAGAACCTCGCTCAGGATTAAAACAGATGGTATGTGCATATTTCTAGTTCATAATACAACCAAAAGATGTCAGCATGAACATGAAAATCACTGCATATTTCAGAAAACTGAAATTCTTCATACATAAGGATAACTGCTCTACTGGTCCTCCAGTTATATAATATACCTTTAATAAAGGAAAGGATAATAAAAAAACAATAGTCTTCATATTTTCCTAATTTGAGCTCTTATTGTATAAGAACTGATTTTCATGATCACTATGTCAGCTTGGTTAACGGAAAAAAAGTGATCACATTACAAAACTCTACATCATATTAATAATGTCTTTATCATGGCTTAAAGCAATAACCATGTCGACAATACACTGTTCAATTGCAATGTTGCTTAGTGTTTAATGTCTTGTGTATCAGGCATTTTTCTCTCCACATGCAAAGATTTTCCTAGATATCTTTGTCTTTAAAGCAGTGTTAATATTGGCGCTACTGTGATGATACCAGAATATAATGACAGGCTTGGGATAAAAGCTTTTTGAATCAATATGATCTTACTGATCTCATAGAATTTATCTCATACTTTGAAAATATAGCTGAAAATGAGAAATATTAATGTAACATGGGTTTTAACATTTTAGTAATTTTAACATATTGTTAAGTTTACTATTTACTGATCTTAAATGTACTGACATCTTCTTTGTAATTTTTAATTTTCTCAAATTCACAGTTGAATGTAAGTATATGTAAAAATAGTCCCCAACCCACCCCTACCAAGAATTGTGAATGAAGCATATTTTAGTATCAAAACCAAATTCATGTCATTCAGATACATTATAACATTCCAACTTAGTATATTATTGTTGTTTTATGATGATCACAATAAAACTCATCGTTGAATCATCAATAACCAGTGGTGCCATCTTTTATGTCGTCTATGGACTGATGTTTAGTTGCGAAACATGCAGATAGTCTAAGATGTCCATTGGTTTAATAGAGTCCATCAAATGACGAAAGAATATTGATTTTTGATATAAATTCTTAATTTGGAATGTCATTTCGATCCTTGATTTTACATATATTTGGTTATTATGATATTTTACGTTTTAATAGGACCCCAAAGATATCCTTCATATTTTGTTAGTTTCACTAGGAGTGCAAAACAAATGAAGAATGTTCAATGTATTCAGTCCTCAAATATTTGTTGTATTTTAAATTTGGCTTTATATTTTTTCAAACTATTTGTTTTGCACTCTCAATTTGAAAACTAGAGCATTTTGAATGAATTATTGAAATGAATAAACAATAATTGTTTTTTGTTTGATGTCAATATTTTTGTTAGATTTTATCACAAACATATCGTTTTTGGGATAAACACAAGAAAACACCTTTCTATATACGTATATCTATTTGAAAGATATATCTTAATATTAAAATACTATAAATTTTGATTTAACTCCTATATTAAAGAGACCTTAATTGTAGTACTTGTATATTAATTACTTTCATCAAGTAGCACCTTTTCATTTTTCAAAAGTGACTGCAATTTATCAAAACTGTAGTTTTTTTTATTATTTTTACTTTACATTCTTGATGATAACTAGAATGAGCTAGTAGTAGGCTACATGTTGTTACTAGCTGTGATTTTTGACTCACAATTAGTTTTTTATTATGAAAAGCACTATTTTTTCCTATTAGATATAGAATCTGTTTTTGGGGATCTAGAAACCATACCCGAGTGATTATTATATTTTTAAGGCGATGAATCTCGTTTAGATTATCATTATTTGTGTGCCATTTGTTGTGATGTCTTGTGTACTGGATGTGTTTAGATCATACGGGCCTTTGTGAGTCGCAATCATCCAATAGGCTAAAATACAATGTTCGCTCCATGTATATTGTAACATAGTCTGCTCACGAATATAGCATATAACTAATTATAAGATTTTCATCCATCTCAGCATCTGTATTACTGAAAACATTTAAGTGTGGATTGTGAACAGTTGGATCCTGGAAGATCCTTTGTTATCTAGTTATATTGCATAATGCATAATGATACATATCTGCAATTATCAAACATACATTCTGTCTCTTGGATGGTAAACCCCAAGTTGTCTCATAATTAATTGTCAAAAAGAAGTAACTTTACACCACCCATGCACATACTTTTCATTAAACTTGGTATTTGGGAATATTTTAGAATATTTTTTGTATCATTTGTACCTGTTTTGTACCAGTTTTATAGAAAAAAGCTAAACTCTATCATTAATAGAAAGTCTTATAGTTACTCTTGAATCTTTTTAGTGTACAAGACATAATAATAAAGATATAAATGTTGTATTTAGATCATCCACCCAAAATGCTCCACATCCTAATTTGCAAGGAAGCATTACATGTATTTAATGTTTGAATTTATGAATAATTGATATATTTATTGTTCAAAGGTAACATTGACCAAGCAAATGAAGAACTGCGGGCAGTTATTAAAAAGATCTGGAAGCGCACAAGCCCCAAACTGCTTGACCAAGTGGTGCCTCCTGCTGGCAGTGAGTGGAACTATTCTACCTCCATTCATAATTTCTAAGTTCACAGAAAACACTACATCAGTAACTAGTGAAAATAAGAAAAAGAAAATCACCAAGTAAAGCAGACGTGAATTTTTGGAATTTGAACTTGTCGGGAAAGAATCTCACTTGAAAAAGTACTTGTTCAGTGATGCTTCCAACTTCTAACGATATAGAAGTATGTTTTTACATGTAAGGTGGACCAGTGTATAAAGTTATGGGATACATCCATGAATCATATACACCCATATATCCATACATAATAGCATCAAATGCACTGGCATCCATTCAATTCAAATCTCTCAATAGGCTTCAATCAAGTAATGAAACACGAGATGATTTTAGCAATAATTAAGACCTGGAGTGTTACGTTTATTATTTTGTCACTTTGATTAAATTCTTAATACTCTTCATTTTACCTCCATTAACTGGCATTAGTAAATTAAAATGGTTTATACGTCCAAATTACTTCTTACTTGCAGGCGATGATGATGTTACAGTGGGCAAATTCTATGCAACATTTCTCATCCAAGATTACTTCAGGCGATTCAAGAAACGCAAGGAGCAAAATCTTAAGATCCAAATGGGTCATGAACACACTAATGCTCTTCAGGTTTGTAAACATCCTCCCCCCATCTCCATAGCAACTGACAGCCATCTTGGATTCTGTTATACCTATATGTCAATTCGACCTTGATATTTTTCCTGGTTATTATTTGGTGACAATTCTAAATTTGACAATTAAAGAGAACTCATTTGATCTTGAAATGGGAGACAAGTCCCACAAAAAGTTGTTTTATCGGAGAAGTGGATGAAATGTACCTTCCCCAAAAATGATAAATGTCTGATCAAATATTTAATTATAAGATCTCCCTTTAATGTCGTTGTCCAGTGGGATAAGAAATATGAAGTCCCCCTACAGTATATTGGCGCAGCTGGGCCTATTTTTAGCCATGTGTCGTCTGCTAGCCTCATTCTCAATTAGGTGACCTCTTTCTGTCCTACTCTATTCACTTGTGACATCATATGCTATATATAGTAGCTGACATCATACTCTATAAATAGAACCATCTACACTTTATATGATAAGTATATAGAATTTACACTATGATTTTTGTTGACCCATATGATAATTTCAACTAGTTTGGTTGGGAACATGATGTGTTAAACAGCTCAATGTGTTTTAGAGTTGTGGTGATTCGAGTATAAACGTTCATGGTGTAACTAATGTGATTCCCTCAAGAAAATCAGAAAAGGCATTTGTCCATGATGATTTAGTCTTCAGTGTATGTTTATCCAATCTGTTTGTGTCTCTGAATGCCTAAATACAGCTTGTTTTTTCGGGAAATCACAATTGTTAACGCCATTACAGTAGTAGGGTATTAGAGGGTTGCGGGTTGTAGCTGTTTAAACGTCATGTTTTATGTTTATTAGCACCGGCTTTATTTTTGTGTTCAGGCTGGGTTGCGTGCCGTGCATGACCTGGGCCCAGAAATTCGTCGTGCTATATCCGGCAATTTAGAGGAAGATAATTTCCCCGACAATGATAAGGAAGAACCTATGCATCGGGTAATAAAGATTGTGCCAAATCAACAACAAAATGGCCAACAATTGTGGGATATCGGGAAAAATTTCTAGAATAGTCCGTACTGAATAAATTACCCATCTAATTTCATGATTCTTCCTGAAACACATGTATCCATGTAAATGGAAATTCAATATCATTTCTTAGAACTCCCCCGTCATGTTGTTGTTCAACTAATCATACTGCCATATATAGTGTATTGTTATATGTTGTTCAAAGAACATACTGCATACATATTCACCTCTCACAATCAGTACAGGCTATCTCAAGATTTTTCTTGGAATTCTGCACATTGAGTTTTTTAAGTTTTGTGTGTTTTTTAATTCCGCATAGCTTTGTTTTAACTGTAGATGTTTATTTGCAATGTAACGACACTGCATGGGTTCATAATAATGAGTTTATTAATCATTATTTTGCATGAACTAGCATGAATCTCTTCATCATACTCCCATCATGTATAACATCACCATGCATTACTAATTCTTCAACCCCTGTGTGCTTTGACTCAACAAGGCCAAATACATCACCTACATAGTCTGTTCAGCTGTACCTGGCATGTAGATTGAGATAATATATATTGTTCCTTCAAATTGTCCCCTGGTGATCTTGGTTCCATATTGTACATTACAACTTGTATGACATGTAACCTGACCATGCTGGTATATTTCCAAATTAGCTTCGCCCCTAGGTTGACAGGTTGACATCATGTAGATGCCAGTTGCCCACTATCCCCCCCCCTCCCTCCCACAATCCCTCCTTTCTCTGTTGACTCAAACTAACACCCTGGTGTACATGGCATGTAAAGCCTCACTCACATTTGCTTTACTGGGGCCATACAGCAGCCGTAGCTTCACAAAATCGGTATAGAAAATCTTCATCGTACTGCTTATCCCTATATTTTATGCTGCATATTTTCCTCGATTTTGAGAAGCTCTAGCTGCTGTATGGCTGCCATAGATCAAATGTGACTGAGGCATGATCGATGCATTCAGATATATTTCTGGCTCTGTATGTAGTGAACCATCATAGCCAATATTAGCCATATCTTGCTACATGTGAACATCGCTTCGCTAACTCAGATTCCTTGGAAAATACTAATCAAAAATGTTGATACAAAATGGTTTATAGGGGTTTACTGATATCATTAAAGGGTCCAATTCCAATCAAAAAATATTAATTTGTTTAAGCATGAGTGATGTTTCCCTTGGAAATAGTTTATAGGGGTTTATTGATATTCCTGAGCATAAGTGATGTTTCCCTTGGATAATTCCTTTTCAGTACTAAATCTAACAACTAATGATATCAAACTAGAAGATTACCTTAAATTCTTTACTGTACTTACATGTATTCCAAAGATTTTTTAACTTACACAAATGACTAGAATAATGGCATATTATTACATTGTCCATAAATCACAAAAGTCATCAAATGACAATTCATTTAAAAATGTTAACTTGTATTGGAATGTGCTTTCATGCATTTCACAGTTGTAGCAAAATAAAAGATAATCTAACACACATTCTAGTGCTTAAGCTTCTAGGTTTCACCTTTTATATACAAAGAAAAATGCTGAGTATACTAATACTAGAATGAATTCTGCATCAATACCATTACAAATGCTTATTTTGTATATGACAATCCATTCATTTGCCTTGCATTTAATATTTAAATTTATTCAAGCAATGGTGTTGGGTTATATCAAGTTAAAATATAAACTCAAGTTGAAATATAAAAAGTTTTCATTGTTTGGAATACACATGGCACAAACAATGATATAACATGGTCACATTTTGTTTGCAAAAATAACCATTTTTAAGAGAGAAATTTAGCTGAATGCAGAGTGATTTGATACTAACATAATATAAAATCATATGTACTATTAACATGAATAATTCATTCTTTGTATCTCTGATAAGAGTATTTATAAAAAATGATGTTTTTTAAATTGACAAAGACTGGTTATTGTTTTGACATTAAATTTGCCCTGTTTATTTCTTTACCTGAGGCTGTTTTGAGAAATGTTTAAAATTTTAAAGATGGTTCCATCTTAATACTGACATCAAGATTGTACAACTTTTCCATATATGGTATGTTTCTCAAAAAAGAGTCTCACAAAACAAAAATTGCCACAAATGTTTTTTTGGCAGTCAATGTACCACATATATTTAAATATATTGAATTGGAATAAAGAAGAAAAAACAAAACAAAGCAGTCTCAAAACTGAGGTATTGGGTGTTGTTCACATTTCCTAGCAGAGGGACTGTAAACTCACATGTTTTATTTTTGTTTACTCTGTACCATTTAGTTGTTTTAATTGTCAATAATTTCTCTTTCAGCGCAATCACAGCTTGTTTGGTACGGTCATCTCAGCATTTACGCCAAGCAAAGCACTGACAGCATTTCCTAATAGGGCAAATTCACTTCATGCCAATCAGCCTGGCGGGGGGAAACCTAAACTTTCCCCAACAAACTCTATACACCACCCTCATCTTTCCCCAAGCAATTCCATCAACAGTGCTCACCCAAAACTTTCTCCACAAAACTCATTGAATAATGGAGTTTCACCAGCCACCAAGGAACACCTGGCTGTTGAGTATCGCAATGCCATTAATCGCTCACCCTCCCCTGGGATAAATGTGCTCAGACTGTCACCTGTTACATCAGATGGCTCCAGGCGACCAAGTAAATCAAGGTGGGTGTATAATTTATAGAATACTTTATGAAATATGCATTTGAATGTAGTTGTGCAATTAAATTACTCTTTATATTTACGGTGTACCATGGCACTTTTGTTATTGGCTCATATGATGAAAACCACTCAATTGTCCGTTCATCTGTCCGTGCGTCTGTGTGTTTGTCAGTCTGTCAACAGTTTTTGAACAAATGAAAACTATCATTCATCTGAACTAATGTCCAGCAATGTCTATTGCTGGTAATTTACACAATTGGTCATGTACCTTCCTTTTATATTCATTTTGGAGAAATAGGCTTTGGTCTAAATGCCCACTTGTCCATTCATCCATTCATTCATTTGTCATCAATTTTTCTATTCATCCATTCATTCATTTGTCATCAATTTTTCTATTCACCCATTCATTCATTTGTCATCAATTTTTCTATTCATCCATTCATTCATTTGTCATCAATTTTTGGACATGAAAACTGACTGTTGTTTATTGGTAATTATACAGCATTGGTGCTTGTTCCTATTTTTGCCTCATTTTGGAGAAATCATTTTGTTTTTGTCAAAATATCACATATTTTATTTTTAATATACAAGCATATTGCTTATAAATCGTATAATATATGTTGAAGTTGATGCTGAGAAGTTTCAGTTTCAGCTTTCCAAGTTAATGGTTTTCTCTGGGCAATCTATTTTCAGATTTTTGTAATATTACTCAGACATTTACAAAGATTTCATGATGATCTTATTCAGACCATCCAATAATCTTAATGGGAAACGTGGGTAGAACACTTGTGCCCACCAGTGTAAGACAAAACCATAATTATCTAACGATATTAAATTAGTAATATAATTAGATCAGTTCTTGATAATACGTGGGTGAATGACATTCATGGGTTCATTCGCATATAGTTATTTCATAATTCAACTCATAGTTGTTGATATCTATTCATCTTCCTCAAAGAGTCTAGAAATGTAGAGCTATAAATAGATAGGAATGGGTACCTGAATTATGTTCAAACATTTGATTGTTATTTTCTTACATAATAGGCCAAAAATGGTCTAATAGTCAAGTATAAAAATCGAAATGATGTTGGCATAATATTTTTTGATAACATATGGATTATAAAGTTGTTAACTTGTTTTGTCATTGTATTTTCATATTATGTTATTCATGTACATGTACTGCATAACCTTTGTATTTAGCATGGTCAATTCATTTGCATGTCCTCCGTGTATGCATGGGTAGCTGGTTAACAAAACTCAGACCACAGTCAACTCAGACTCCCAGTCAACTCTGACCTCAGTCAACTTAGACTCCAATCACTTTTATAATATGTTAAACTCATGTTTTGTTTAATTTATAGAATCAGACAAAAACTTTTAGAAATTACATGTGTAATTGATTTGGGTATTTTAGGTACTGGAATGATACAAGGAATTTGGATTTTTAATTTTGGCAATTAATTATATTCTATAAAAATAATATGCAATTTATTTGACTGATTTAAATGAGTACATCTACTTACTGCTATATAATTTCAGTTAACTTAATAAGTCTGAATTGACCCGGGTCAAGTTAACACTGGGTTGACTAAAATCCCCTTTGAAGTATGGGCCTCCAGACTGTGTGCATCCTCTGATCACGGGGCTTCAATATCCAGAATATCTTCTTTCTTTTTACCCCCTGCGATAAGCAGTTAGCAGTTCCCCGATTAAGAACTCACAATTTGATTCGCTGCGGCAACACTGCAACAACAATCATATATACATCATTGGTGCCAGGCCCAGGATTTGCCAAGGGGGGTTCAGTTTTCAAAAATTTCCAGGGGGGGTTCACATTTGACAATTTTGGCCCAAATATGGCTAAAATCACTTGAGAAGTGCTCAAAATGGTGAAAATCTGCATGATTTTGAAAGATTTTTTGGCCCCCCTGGCTACGGGCCTGGGTGCATAATTAGATCACGTGACTCAGTTTAATCGGGCACTTCCAAATTGGTTATAGCAGGGGGAAAGAAGGAGGTATGGATTCTGGACAGGAGGATGGACTGTGTGTTGATCTGTGTATCTGGAACCCTTTTCTTTAATGATATTTTTGTGTGATTAACTTGTTCCAATGCATGTTTTGTGTTCCATAGGTCTATCTCACCAATGAACTCATTTGGAATGTCTTCTGATGGGTCGGGATGGTTTAGTAAGAACAGGTACTATCCAAAGTACACATCTGATACACATATCTGTTGTACTAATACATGTACCTGTTGTACTGATACATGTACCTGTTATTCTGATACATGTGTCTTCTGATCTGGTACATGTACCTTGACTTTTCTGATACCTGTACCTGTTGTTCTGATACATGTACCTTCTGATCTGGTACATGTACCTTGACTTTTCTGATACCTGTACCTTCTATTCTGATACATGTACCTACTTATTTGATAGATGTACCTGCTGTTCTATTAAATGTACTTTCTGTTTCGGTTCAAATAATCTCTGTTCTGATACATGATCCTGCATTTCTGATACACATACCTGGTGTTCTGATATATGTACCTTCTATTTTAGAACATGTACTTGCTGTTCTCATACACATACTTGCCGTTCTGATGCATGTACTATCTGTGTTCTGATACATGTTCCTACTTTTGATACATATATCTGCTTTATCCATAGGCTTTCTTATGAAAGTCCATCGTTTATCTGATACATGCACCTTCTGTTCTGATACATGTACTTTTTGCTTTGTTACATGTACCTTCTATTGTAATACACATACTTGCTGTTCTGATACACATACTTGCTGTTCTGGAACACATACTTGCTGTTCTGGTACACATACTTGCTGTTCTAATGCACATACTTGCAGTTCTGATACATGTACTTGCTGTTCTGATGCACATACTTGCTGTTCTGATACACATACTTGCTGTTCTGGTACACATACTTGCTGTTCTGATATATACTTGCTGTTCTGATCCATAAACTTGCTGTTCTGATACACATACTTGCTATTCTGATCCATATACTTGCTGTTCTGATCCATGTACTTGCTGATCTGATGCATGTACCTTTTCTTCTCATATATGTACCTGCTGATGTCATGCACATATTTGCTGTTCTGATACATCCACCAGCTATTCTGTTGTATATGTACACGTACGCATTGTTCTGATACACATACTTGCTGTTCTGATGCATATACCTCCTCTTCTGCTATATGTACCTGCTCTTCTGAGACACACATTTGCTGTTCTGATACATGTATATTTTGTTATATATGTACATGTTGTTCAGGTAGACGTACCTGCTCCTACCTTCCTATAATTGTCTTTCACTGATGTATTGTGTCTTGTTGTTTCCCAAAGTGGCCAATTGATAAATGGAGGTGTTATAGGCACATAATCTATTTAAACTGGTTTTGTTATTTGTTTTTTTTCGAATGTTTGTCAACTGTATGACCAAGGACTTCGTTGATTTCAATGATATGTGTCATTTCTACATGTATCCATGTTCTGTTGATTTGATTGGAAGATACAGGTTTTTTCATAAAACAATCAATGCTTACAATCAAACTCATGCCAATTAAGAAACTGTACTTTACTCTCTTTTACAAACTTGTGCTATCCCACAATCCCACAGTTACAGTGCCATCTATCTTACTCATTTAAATTAAATAACTTAATTATTTGTCAATTTTTGGCTTTAGCAAACACATGCATTAATTAATCATTAAGTCAGTTATTTAATGCAATCCCGCATTATGTTTCAGTTCACTGTCAATAGGGGATGGTGACGATCCCATGTCAATAGATGTGCCTTCCTACCATAGCCCAGCTCACTCTCCAGCTGAGACAATACCAATGCAAAACCTTGGTAAGTAAACACCATACCATTGCAAAACCTTGGTAAGTAAACACCATACCTTTAATGCAAAACCTTGGTAAGTAAACACCATACCAATGCAAAACCTTGGTAAGTAAACACCATACCGATGCAAAACCTTGGTAAGTAAACACCATACCTTTAATGCAAAACCTTGGTAAGTAAACACCATACCTTTAATGCAAAACCTTGGTAAGTAACCACCACACCAATGCAATACCTTGGCATTATCTATTTGGTTAAATCTACCAGAAGTAAAATATTCTACTAAACAAATTTTTATGTTTATATACTTTTTACATTCAAAAGTATTAAATGTTTTCAGGTTATTCAGTGAATAGGCCAGCAGGGATGCCTCTAGGTTTCACTTCAGACAGAGTGCCTGATGCTAATGGAGGGGTCACCAGGAAACAAGGCCCCTTTGTCTATAGAGAGTGAGTATACTTGTTTCACATTGCAAGAGTTAAATAGAGTTGGTTGTAGCCACAAATATTCAGTGTGTGGCTGCGTGGCCAGTTAGTTTAGAACTTATCCAAATGTTATTTCAGTATTTACATCTGTTAAATAAAACAATGACTTGACAGCCTGTGTTTTATTCAATTCTGACCTATGATTCAAAATTCCTATTGCAGACCATGCTAAGTATTTCCAGTAATTATTGTATTTATTTGAATGGTTACAGTTAGTTTAGCAATTTCTAGAATTTGAAATATACATTTTTGATCCTAAAAGTTTCTATCGTAACAGTCTTCTCTTCATGGAAAGTTAAAAACTCTCTCACACATATGTTGAAATAGATAGGTAGTAAGATCTTAAATGATGCTAAACCACAAACTTAATAAATCTTTCTTTGAATATGATATAAATATCTATATCTGAATAAAAAACAAACAAAAATCTGAAAGAATACTTATTATTCCAGTTTACCTCAAGAAGATAGCGATGTAGAACGTGAGAGATCACCCCCGACCCCACCGCCACGTAAATACAGTCGACGAGGTGCCTCTTTCAAGCTGGCTTGTATCGGAAAACAGGACAGTGACGAAAACCCACTTATGTTGCGTAAAGTTGCAACTCCATTAAAACTTGCACAAAATCAGGTTGGTGAAATAGATTCTATTGATATGGTAGAATAGCTAGTTTGAACCTTGTTATAACGCCCCAGTATCCATTGGAATGCATTTTTCCTGATACTTAATAGTTTTACAAGTAGTGGAATTTATAGGATACAGTACAGAGGTTTCAAAATGTCTGCAATGAGTATTCATTTTTATGTGATAGTGTGATAGTCTTGTAAAGATCTCCTCTGTCTTGTGATGGCCCTTGTGGTACATGTACTCCTCATTCATTTATATTTTATCAAACACATTTTTGAACTCCTCTTCACTCATGAACATTAGATTGATATAATAATTGAAATGATCAACAAAGTTCATCATGTTTTTTTTTCTTGGCACAATTACTTTAACGTTACATTCTGTTTTGTTATGTTATTTGTTACAAGTGAATTTAATATCATAGCTATTTGGAATACTGATTAATCTTGATATTTGTGTTAAGTATGGTGAATCATCATGTCAAACATATTAAGGTGGGAAGACTGGAATGTATTTTGAACTTAAGTGTATTGAAGTTATTCATCCAGACAACTTATTCCACTCTGCCCGCCTTAACCCATCAAGCATCCAATGTAATATGTACTTTAAATCATCTTAACCCTTTGGTGGCTATGTTCATTTCGTTAACCCTTTTGTTCCTTCTTTGTAGAGTGTCCACCTGAATGTCCCAGACTCTGACTATGTACAGGTTAATTTTCTTTCGTTTTTTATTTGCACTCATTTTTTCAATGTTTATTTTGTTGTCCTTATTATATTGTGTTTCTATGGTTTTCAAGTGTTGTTTTCATTATATATACATTTATGTGTTGCCTTGGTAACCAATTGTTGTCTTCATTCAAAATTGTTCTACTAATTTGTACAGGTTACTTCTTCAGTGTTTATTTTACTGTAACTTATTATATGTGTTTCCATAGCTTACAATTGTTGTCCCCTTTTATGTTTCCATGGTTTCCATTGTTGATTTCATTATGTTGTTGTTCAACCAAGCAAGTTATACTTTGTATCACATCAAATTAAATGCAACAAAGTTCTGTCAAACATAATACATCGATTTTCATATCATATTGTATTATGTATTTTGTTTGTATTGTTTGTTTTATATGATATTTCTATCACAATACTATTAAAAATAACCTGCTTTTATTTGTTGTAATTTTTATTTTTGTTGCGATCAAATTTTATCATTTTATATTTTTGCACATGTGTATGTAACATGCAAGAAAGCTCCAAATGCACATATTGTATATAAGGAATAAGGTATATTATAGGCACCCTTCAGAGGTCTTTTGGTAATAAAAAAACTCATGCTTTTCTGTTATACACATCCATTTAGAGAAAACACTTGTGTGAATTGTAAACTTTTGTTTGCTATCATTTTCTTCGCTTATTTGTGATGTAACAGATCTGCTGGATAAAGACTATGGGTTAAGTTTCCAGATTTATTTTAATTGAATGGGTGGGGCAGGATGGGTTTGGTAGCAGAATAACAGGTCATGTTTAAATGAGCAATAAAAACATTGACTCTTTGATACGTTGAGTTCTTTGAAATTGTCTTTGAAATTGTCTTTTTTACTTTTGCACATTTTATCAGATATAGCCACAAAAGTAGGTCATCAGATATAGTCAAAGGTGAAATTATGAAAGACTAGATTCATATAATTATATTTTTATTCCAGCCTCAAACAGGGAACAATAAGGTCATTATCATGTGTGTTAATCCCTCTGCCTCGTTCACATTCCTTATAATCCTTTGTGCCATATTGTTAAAGGTCCTATGTAAAGTTAAAAGTAGTTTAAACTTAACATGGGGCCTTTAAGTTTGATCTGTCTACTTAGAATTCTATTGAATGAGAAAGTTGTGCTTTGTTAGGTTTCACTCCGGGTTTAACTCACTTCTCTCCAAACCATCACACACTATTTTTGGGATTCTGCATAGATGTGACATTTGATGTCATGACATCTAATACAAGAATTATGTTTTGAAATTCAGTACACATATATTCCATATATTTTCAAAACAATGCTTGCCAGTGAGTTTCCAGCAACACATTGTCTGGCATTGCAGTTGCAGAACTTCTAAATTGCAGTACTTCTTAATTACAGTACTTCTAAATTGCAGTACTTCTTAATTACAGTACTTCTAAATTGCAGTACTTCTTAATTACAGTACTTCTAAATTAGTGTGTTGATATTTCACCAGGCCTTCAGTCTCATTATCTACTAAGAAATGTTTCTTATCAACATCTTGAAATTCTTGCTTTGGATAAATAAATATGAAAATACAGATACTTACACTCCTTCAATCTAATATACAGTAAAACCTGTTCAAGTGGATCACCCATGGTACCTCTAAAAAGTGTTCCACTTGGGAGATGTTCTATTTATGGAGATTTAGGGGTGGTCTCCAATTGTCAGCAGTTGTTGAATAAAGAAGTTAGTTTTGTTAAGGGGGAGGAGGTAAATGATGGTTTCATTAGCGACTAATGGTGATTTTTTTTATTAATATTCAAGTGAAAGACAAATCAACATTTCAAAATTTCGTAAGATATGTTGAGGGGGGGGGTCAAACCATAATGAAATTAATCTACAATTGTTGATACTTTGACACCATCCCTTATTTAACATTGAGTCAATTGGTAATAGACTCTGAAAATCGTTTCACTGAAAGAGGTGTTCCACTTCACAGGTTTAACTGTACTGTACTTTAAAGGTTGAACGTCCATTTGTTCTGTAGCTTTAATGTAATCAGCTTTAAACTCTTGTTCGTTAACCTGATTGTGTTGAATCACACTCTTAAATCAATTGATTGCTTGATTAAATTATTGAGAACTAAAACCAACAAAGTTAACTACCTCATTGTGTATCATTGCCCTTGTTTTTGATCATGTATTAATCATGGAATAAGATAATCTTGGAGAAAACAAAAGCTTGTGTTTGATGAAATGAAATACTTGAGACAGTAAGGCTGATATATAATGTGTACTTTACTCATCATCCTATATGCGGTTCTAGCTAGTATTGTCCCATATCTGAGAGTGTATTCGATAACAAGTTTCCCCCAGCACCTAGTCATAATAAATACATTATTACAACAACCTATCGAAGCCATCTACACTACCTTGTGACTATTACAGATGCTTTTAAAGTTGGCATACTCTTACCAATCTCAAATGGATCTATCACGGCCTTTTATGGGCGGTTGAATGTAAACTGAAAATGCAGTGTCTAGAACCTCTGACTACATTTTCTGATTAGATGAAGAATATTGATGATTAAAAAGAGATCTTGAAAAGGGTACTGGCCTTTTATTTGATGAATGTATGTTTTGTGGAAACAGGCTTACATGATAAATGTCCAATCGTGTGTCATCAAATAACTCATGGAATACATATTAATCTTTATAATTAATCCCTATAATTAATCTTTATCATTTCTATATCAAGTGAATATGTGCAGTTTTGATATTACTTTCTGTTCTATATTTTCGTTATTTCTCAGAAGATATTTATAACTTAATATCACTGAATAAATATTCATATCTCTTTTATATCTGTTTTGTTATTTTTAGTGCATTTGACATCATTGAAATTGCATATTCGACCAAAGAATCGATGAATACATGTAATAAACATATGACATACTTTCATTGAACATTACAATGGTCCCATTGTGAAGCTTTATACATAAAAAAAACGATTGGTTATAAACGAAATAAAACTCACGTGTAGCTACAATTACACAGTAATATAAGGTCCATTTAGAGATGTAAGTTCATGTTTGGACATATTCTGCATAAAACCTTATCGATATTCTATTCTATCACCTTTTTATTATGTCACCACCAACTGGTGACATATTGTTATTGTCTCCAACCTTTTTGTGGATGGTGTTCAGTGGTTAGTGTTTGGTATTTGGCAGGCAGCGTCCTTAACAAATGGCAGGTGGTGACATTTTGATTGTTAATGCCTTGTTACTTTAATTACCTCACAACTGTTTATTACTAAAACCTTTTGAGATATTACATACTTGATATTTCATCTTATAACACTGTTGCACTTTTACTGACATCTTTTGGAGTGATTTAGATGTTTAATAAGTATAAGAGGAATAAAGTAATGAACATTATCTTTGTTTTACTCTTTTTTCACTGTAACATTTTTGCCATACAGGGTACATATGAATCATCTACACATATCAGTACCCTTGAATTCATTACTGTAACAGTGCATCATCTAAAGTATAAAATTCCATTTTCATTAAAAATCGAAAATGTAGAATTTCATTATAAGCCCAAACCTTATATTAATGTCAGATTTTAGCTTGAGGATTTCTATTGTATTGATTATGTAAATCCTCCACTTTACAGAGCTTTCCTTGTAATTTTTGCATTATTAAAGTGTTGTATTATTGTGTTCCAGGCTATGGCTGTTGCAGGGATGACCCCAGAAGGTAGGCATCGAAGCATAGACCATCCACGTGTCTTGCGAACTCCACCTGCTTCTCCAGGCAGAGTTCGAGCTTCTTATCATAATCCAGGTGTGTGCACTAACAATACTAATTCTCCATATGCAGTATTTCTCATCTTCGCACGCTTGGTCTTCACTGTGACCAATGGGAGCCAAGGGGGGGGGGGCCGAGTGAGTGAAGATGGTTTTTCTGGGGTAGTATCCAAAGGCCGTATTCAAATGGTTAAAGGAACATTTTATAATGGCTACAGCATTTGCCTATACCACTGGTATTATTAGATACAGCATAAAATATTATGGCTAGAGCTGGTGGCTTTCAATTTTGGATACTACCCAACCTACTGAAGCATCTCATGGTTTTATGGCTAATTTGTCTGTCTCTTGTCTTTCTAGGTTTTGCAAGCTCTGGTATATTGAGGTTTTCTATGACCTTGACCTTTTTTATTGACCTCACATGACCTAATAATATAAACCAAGTGTAGTGACCATGACAACATATTATCTTGCCCATATTCCTATTGATGCACTCTCTAGACTGAAATACTAAATAACCATATTGTTCTTTAGGAAATTAAAGTTTAAACAAAAGATCTGTATTGTCATTAGGAATCTTGTTGATTTATCTGGAGCCATTTCACCATGATTTGGTCGGGAACTATCTCAGTGTATAACAGATTTTGTAAAGGAATATAACATTTTCTCATTCAAAATGCTAAAAAGGATAAATTCAGGATAGGTGAGATTTGTCTCTTGAAAGCCCAGGGTGACCTCAGGATGTAGTCTCATGAAGTTATTGCCAGATTATGACGAAAAATCTGAAAAATAAGTCTAATTTACATCTATGAGTACATAAGGACTTTTTCAATTATTAACCCCAGGGAAAAGCAAACACGATCATGAATCATCTGATAATCTTCAATCTACCCTTTCACCCCTCGGAGTAAGCCTTATATATGGATGAATAGCCACAGTCAAAGTCATGCCTAAAGTCACGTTGGCACGTACAGCCTCTAAATTGAAATGCTGAAGTATTACAGTTCACTTTAAATCCTCCTCCCAGTCAATATTTACACATATTGAGAAAATCTAATAACTAAAAATCCAATAAGGAATCGACACTTGAAACAAGAAGATAGAATTAAAGTGACAGTAAAAAGACTAAGAGGTTGTTTTGCTCTAGAGGGTATATCCATGTTAACAAATTGTGATCCAGTTTACAGACGGGTTTTTCCCTTGAGGAGACAACATTGCCAATTATATTAAGTCAACACTATCCCAAGATGAGCAAGTATGAAATGAATTGTTGAATTGTGCGAACAGACTAGTATGAATTACTAGTGTTAAAAGGGCATGTTATACAGGCATGTAGGCATGCAGGGGGTTTCGAGTGAACCCCCCCCCCCCCCCCCCCCAGGCCAAAATTCTTTCAAAATCATGCAGTTTTTACCATTCTGAGCACTTTTTAAGTGATTTTGGCCATTTTTAGACCAAAATTGTCAAAAGTGAACCCCCCTGGAATTTTCCAAAAAGTGAACCCCCCTTGGCAAATCCTGGCTACGGGCATGTTATTTCTTAGGTTTCAAAATACCAAGTTTCGAGAAAATTTTCCTGAGTCAGATAACATGGAGGATATAAAAAAAAGTTATGAAAGATAGACCAAGTGGATCAATTTTCATCTAACCTTTAAAATTTGATAATTATACCATTTGAATTAGATAAATTGCAAATAACATAAGGCTCTGTTTGGAGCAGTTATATACAATTTTGAAAACAATATTCTTAAAATAATGTAAATTTGATTTCAAATATGATATCACTTCGTCACTAAATTCTGAATATTTTATAAAAACAAGATTATTTCAACTCGTATCTGGAATATTGATTGAATATGATTTGTCAAAATCTGTCGTTTGCTTTTAAATAGATTTTCAACTGAGTGTAGAGTAATATTCAAATCATCAACTGAGTCCTGGAGATTGAGATTGGGTAAAATCATATTTCCTAGGTTTCTAAATAAGATTCACTGGTAACACGATTTATCCTTTTAAACTGTGGATTGTGTCTATGATTTGAAAATAGTTCATTGCTCGAAGATTGAAATCACTCATGATATATTATGATGGATTGCTAGAATCATTACTGAACAATTTCACGTTGTTCTTATTAATCCCTGACTCATGGTGAGACCAATTATCTAGAAATATTAAAATGTTGCTAACTACTGTAGATATTGAAAATGTTAATTAAATATGTACATAGTCACATGTTTCAGAATGTGATACAAGAAACATATCTACATAAAATGACGCTGTATCATCCACAAAATTGAATCGTCTCATTTTTTTATGAGGCACCATTGTTCAAGGATGTTTGGCTTATGTGGTGTTTTGAATGGTTTTTGACTAGAAAATGATTTTCAGATGTCAAAGCACATCAGAGTGTAATGTGAATTGTGTGCTGACGCTTTTTCAATCATATAGGGTATATCTGTCTATATATGTAAGTAAGTCAACAGGTCAAAGATTTGTTTTATGTGATTTTAGATTTGGGTTAATTTTGGTAGACATGCATGATTGCGATTCAACATTGATAACATTAATGAATGGATTATAATTATGTTCAGATGGTTATGGGTATCACAAAATGCATGAACATTTGTTCATTCTTTGAACTTCACGTGGCTATATATTCATGTGTGAACTCTTGCCAGTCAAAACAAACAGGATACAATTATATCATTCTTAGTACCTAGAACTAGTTCTAATTCTAAGAAATAATAATTAGGGAGATTACATAATTGCAGTGTGTATATACTAATTAGATTCTGTCATGTGGTGTGAAAAGGTGGGGTATAATCAAGTAATAATATACTAACATTCTTGTAACTGGAGAAGGAAGCATCTGGGGATTGTTTGTTTTAAATGCTAATATATACGTACATGTGTATGGATCGGGGAAAATATGGCACGACTTTCTCGTCAATGTCTGAAATAATATCTCGCCTCTTTAATATTTTATAATTAAAGGAGTGTTAAAGTGTTGCAACCCTCTTAATATTGTGTAATTAAAGGAGCATTAAAGGGTTGCAACCCTCTTAATATTGTGTAATTAAAGGAGCATTAAAGGGTTGCAATCCTCTTGATATTGTGTAATTAAAGGAGCATTAAAGGGTTGCAACCCTCTTCATATTGTGTAATTAAAGGAGCATTAAAGGGTTGGAACATCAATTCTCACTTCCACTTTCTGTAGAACTGTGTTTACCATTAATTATATTTTGAAATAATCACTACCTCTATTATGTCATTAGAAATGATTGTTACTTCTATATTCAAAATATGTACCTCTGTTTTGAAATAAATCATAACCTCTTATAAATTATAACCTCTGTTTTGAAATGATTGCTACCTTCATAATTTGAAATTAATTGAATGTTTTTTTATGTCACCTCCGCAAGTGGTGACGTATTGCTATAGTCTCCACATTTTTGTGGATTGTTGTGTTCGGCAGTCGGTGTTTGGAGTTTGGTGTCTGTAACAAATGGCAGGTGGTGACATTTTGCATGTTAATGCCTTGTTCCTTTATGTTATCTTCAACAGAATGTTACCCACATGTTTTCAAAGGATTGCTAACCTTGTATTGTTTCTATTGCCAGTTGCCCGACCACTAATGCTAACCAAGGGGTCTTCTTCTGTTCGCGCTGAGCTTGAACCACCCGACCAGCTGTCCCCCACCCGCTCCAACCGCTCCAGTGACACAGACAACATGCGTGACCCGTCCTACTATCTCGATGGCTCTGAGTCTGTTCCTAGCCTCCAGTCCCCAGTGCCTCTCACGCGGCAAGACCGACGCAGCAGTGCGGAGAGTCTCGTTGAAAAGGTACTACCTCTTTACCCACTTAACCCTATGTTTGTTAGATGATAGAGAGCTTGAATGTTTGGTAGGAGCCTGTTTAGAGTAGGACTCATCTATAACCCATTATCAACCCTCTCTTTGTGTGAACTGTAAAAATCATGTGTTTTCATGGTAAATCAATCCATTTCCCCTTTCTTGCATTTAGCATTCAAAGAAAAATCTTAAATTTCCAGTGGATGAACTTATTTACAATAGGAGTAGCATGCAATGCTATAAGATTCATTAGACAATGCTGAATGTAAGCACAGACCGGATGATGATATTGTCAGTCTGTATGGAAGATAACATGATAACTAGTTTATACTGATCTGTCAGTTACCTTTTATTCGAAATACGGAAATGTAGCTACAAGTCAAGACAAACTAGAGTATCGATCTGAACTTACTGTACTCTGCCACGTCTACATGCAGGTGTCACTGTGACTAGTTACATTCAAATATTTGTTGTATGTTGAAGTTAATATGTTCCCGGTATAAGTAATGATACAATTCATAAAGATCATCTTTTTCATAAAATGAAATTTCGAATAAAGACATCCAATCATAATTTATTACCCCACATATAGGATAAAAGTGTCAACTTTACATACATTGTATATTCATCTTGATTCACAAGGTTTCAGTTGCTCCCACTTTACCCTGTTATATATTGTTATATTGTATATAGTATATAATTCCATGCCTGGGTAAACAAAACAAAATGTTAATGATATTCACAGAATTCCACTGAATCCCAGTTTAATTATACCAAGCAAACATCAGTCTGATAGCTTTTTTCGACAAGTTCATTTGAAGAAAGAATCAGATCTAGCAGAGAAGCTAAACAAAAAATCGTTTTAATTATGGAATACTTTTGGCTCATTATTATCATTCATTCTCATGTTTATTTTCTAAAAACCCAAAGTGCATACTTTACTTCAGGAAAGCTGTAGATTTTTAACTTTACCAACTTATAACATATCATGGACCTTTTAGGAGATATTGTATTTGAGATTATAAGGAATAGATTGATCTATTTAACATTTTATAAGGAATAGATCTATTGTACATTTTACTTGCAATTTTGTCATCCACTATAGATCTGATTCTGCTTTTAAACATACATGTGACTACGGGTGAAATAAATATAAACTCTCTTTTGATTGGTTTTGTAAAGATCTACCCAGATGACACACCACATGTAGTAACAGGACAAAAAATAAGCATATGCATTCAAGGTGTATAGTAAATTATAATCACCTTGGAAGTTGAAGGTGCTTATACTACCATGTGAAAGCTTTAAAATGTTTGTGTAGAATTGGAATCATCTGATGAAGGGTCATCCTTGTGTATTATTGTATCCAATTGACACTCAGTTGCTAAGCCCCCCCCCCACCCTTAGTCAGTATCATATTGTCCCTCAGAATAAAACTCATATATAATTGCTCCCAGTAAATAATTTTTATTATCACATGATAATACCTATATTTGGTGAAAACAGCATTGATATTTAACTTTTATGTCAGTGATATTTTGATGGTATTACCTATTTTATGGGTTCTTGATATCATTTTTTATCAACTCATTTCATTTAATATCAGCTAAGCCTCACTGATCTTGGTATTGATATCATCTCATTAATAGAAATGGATTTTTAAATCATATGGTATTATAAAATACATGTATATTGACACAGACTCATTAGTATGAAACTAATTATATACTATTGTATTACTCCTAGCAATTTGGTATCGCTTCTTTTGGTAATTATTTCCTAATTGATACCTGTGGCATGTTTATGTGTCAGATTTAGGTATTGAATTCTAATAAGACATTTTATGTTATATATGCATATATTTTGGAACATAGGATTGTGGTAAAAAATTCTCTCGGGTGAATTATCAACATATCATGAGTAAAAAAGAGAGTTAGGTTAACTCTAAAGGAAATTTATTACTTGTATGATTTGAATGATGTTATCAAATCCCTGAGTATGAGAGATTAATTCATTTTGTTAAAGCTTGGATTTATTCGAACAAACATCTTTTAAAATAACTTCCTGGATGTTGTATGGTTATTCCGGTCTTTATCATATCATGAAATAAGATCGTCTTTCCATATTTAATAGCTCAGATGCGAGTAGGTAGTTACCAGTTTCACCACCAGGTGACTTATTCGGGTCAGATAGCATGGCGGGTATAGTAGAAAGTTCCCTTAAATGTGAATATTCTTCAGCTTTAATGTTTAAATTTTCGTATCACCCTTATGTATCTAATAGTTATGCAAATTAAAATATGTCGGGTAAAGGAAAATATGAGCTGTTCAATACAAGAAAACATATTCCACTTTTTGTGATTTTATAACATGGGTCTATTATGGGGAATCTCCCCGAACTAGAAGTCACATTTTCAAAAAAAAAATTTCAGAGTTGATAAACAATTTTTGAAACCATGTTTATAGATGTACTTTTACATGTAGATTTCAAATATGACATCACTTTGACCGAATTTTGAATAATTGATTATGTAAATCAAGTTTATTTCTACTCGCATCTATTCTATTGGTCTTATTAGTTAATAAGTGTTGGGGCCATTTGAAAAGATTGAAAGCAAATAAATGTTATTTTTTCATTTAGATTGTGTAATTTTTTATTTATTATTTATTGTTAGGGTAATTACCATTTTTCAAGTAAGATTACTTCAACTCTAACATTTCTCAAAGGTTTGAGTAGGGAACTAATTGAAAGTAAGAACCGATTGACTTTATATGTATTATGTAGGCCCTGGAAATACTTTAGCAAAACTTTAAAGACAACCTTGTGTGAAATCAAATAACGAGATGTCCTCAGTTAAATTTAATTTAATTCAATTCATTTAACTGACAAGATCAGTTCATAAGCCATTCCTTAAAAGACGGTGTCCTTATTGAGCTAATGCTATTTCCCTTTCCTTAAAAGGAGGTGTCCTTATAGAGGTAATGCTATTTCCCTTTCATTAGAAGGAGGTGTCCTTATAGAGGTAATGCTATTTCCCTTTCATTAAAAGGAGGTGTCCTTATAGAGCTAATGACATTTCCCTTTCCTTAAAAGGAGGTGTCCTTATTGAGCTAATGACATTTCCCTTTCCTTAAAAGGAGGTGTCCTTATAGAGCTAATGACATTTCCCTTTACTTAAAAGGAGGTGTCCTTATAGAGCTAATGACATTTCCCTTTCCTTAAAAGGAGGTGTCCTTATAGAGCTAATGACATTTCCCTTTCCTTAAAAGGAGGTGTCCTTATTGAGCTAATGCTATTTCCCTTTCCTTAAAAGGAGGTGTCCTTATAGAGGTAATGCTATTTCCCTTTCATTAAAAGGAGGTGTCCTTATAGAGCTAATGACATTTCCCTTTCCTTAACCTTTACCATGCTGCCTTATTTCAGCAAATATATCCCACGCATCTGGCTTCTTTTTCAGAGTGCAAAAAATGATATGCCTGGACTAAATAATTAATATCTCAATAACTACTGAATGAATCTGGATAAAATTTTCACAAAGGGAAGATACAGTGGCCTGGCTCATGAAAAAAATGTTCTTATGAATATTTTTCGTACAATAACATGACTGGGCATATATATACCATGAATACTCCTCCGAAATCCGCCGCTCCGCCCCTTCGTCTGGTCAGAATTCAAATCTGAATTTGCAGCGATCGAATGTTCAATTTTTCAATTCAGAAAATATTCTAGTTTCTATTTTCGATGACCATTATCGGCTTCCAAGAGCCTAAAGAGCTCGAAATCGTAGTCCATTTCCTCCACATTTTCGTTGTGATCGTATTTGTCCGCCATTTTGTATGATTTGTTCACTTAAAACGACTAAAACACTGTTTAAATTGTTGAATTGAGAATTATTTTTCGAAATATCGCCATTTTTAGGTCAACAGGAAGTCATGTTAGGCACTGAATAAATCGGGCAATCTAATTGGACAATACGAATGGCGCGAAAAAGTAAAGTTTTTAAAAGTTTGAAATTGGGCGTACGGGTCCGCCGGCAGTTGTGAGAGACATTTTAGTCTCGGCGGACGTGTTTGCCGGCAGCACGCTAAAGGTTAAAAGGAGGTGTCCTTATAGAGCTAATGACATTTCCCTATCTTTATGAAGTGCATAATAACATTCAATCACATCTTGTAGAAAAAATTGACTCATGGAGAAGAATATATATTCTTTTCAGTGTTTGACAGTAGATAGAGGTCATTTAGTTTTACTGACACAATTGGATAGTTACAAAGTTCAATCCAAATACCATAAATAAACTAGTGTGTCATTACAGTTTAATATTAATTAATGAATCAATAAACATTATTTTTCTATCTTTTTATGTCACCACCAGAAGTTGTGACATATTGTTACAGTCTCCAACTTTTTTGTGACAGCGGTTGGCATTCAGAGTTTGTTGTCTATAACAAATGGCAGGTGGTTACATTTTGCATGTTAATGCCTTGTTTATTATTGCCAAATGGCAATATAATAAAATCAGATACATCATTTCATGGATTGAGCTTAATTTGTGTGCACGATTTATATTCTGAATCTTTGGTGAAAAAACTCAAAACACATTTAAAATTTTACTATGTGATTTACATTGAAAAGTGTTTTTTGAGTATTTTCACACACTGTTGACTTTCGTAGTATATGTAGTCGTCTCACACTGTTGCTATTTATCTTGCAAGCTTCAGCCATGACAACACATGTAAGTTGCAATGACAACTATGGCTAGTTGTCATGACATCAAAGGCAAGTTGGTTTTGCTCCTTCTTATTTTCTACTTCTTTTTCTACCCTTTTAACATTATATCCTCCATTATCCCCACTCTTTGTAACAGTTATGGTTATATGGCTAATAAACTTGGAGCTGGGATGTTAACCTTAAGGATTACCAAGTGACGTCATGTCCAAAATTCATCGTACTTGTCCAACCTTAAGGTTGCCTTCCTAAGACCTAAAGGTTTCTTTTTTGCCAAGATTTATTTAAAGATATAAATATAAATACAGTGTGCATTTTCAATATAACATCACCAATACAAGGCACTGTAGTTTGTATTTTTAGATATGAGACTGAAATACAAAGAGACCAGTGAAGTAAAATGCACACTGGTCTTGATTTGTAAATAATAATTTCCAAATAATGAACACAAATCATTTCTCCTCATATTTCCCATTGAAAAAGTAAGTCTTATTACACTAAATGTCTAATGCCTTTTCAAAAGAGATCAATCTGCCTTTAAGCCAAACAAACAAAAGTAAGATGGTTTTGATGTTTATAACTTGCATGATGGAAGTGGTTACAGAACTGGACACTTAGCTTGTGATTTGTGAATAATAGTCTCAAATCTAATTCAAATTATGATTAAGACCTATTTAAAAAGTGTCCCTCAAGGCACTGCCTCATTGCAAGACAGTTTCCTGGTCATATGCTCCCAGTATGAATGGCAAAGTAATCTTGAGGCAACGAACTGGAGATCAACTGGAAAATAAAAAATCTTACCAAATTCTGCTTCTGGAAGTCCAGCCATGTTGAAACGAAGACATAATGTCTTTGTTTCCGGTTGATCCCCAGTGCAATGAGAATTACATCTTTGCTCATCATTTAGATATCAGTATTTGAAATAGTCTTTTCAATCTTAAAAGAACTGGGGATTTAGTGCCTTGTTAACTTAGTATTGAGGAATAAACTTAATAGTAAAGAGAGTCGACATGTGACATTCACACGATGTGAACAAATTAACCGTTAATCATTCCAAAGTGCATGTACGCATTTGTACTGCAAAACATGCTACTTTGCTTACATATTTGGAAAAAACTCTTATACCTTATGCATGTATACAAAAACACTATATATACAAATTAATAATTTTACCATCGTTAGCAGTATACAATTTTAATTCAGTGAATTCATCATGAAGCAAAATTTGAAAAAAAATTGACTTTAACTTTGCCCTGATTTTAACTTATCTTGTAAATTTTGTTTGTTTCCTAATGAGCCTCTCAACCTAAAGTCATCTTATCTAGAATTAAACTTGCTTCATCAGCTTATATCCAGGGAGCCCATGATTACCCCATCAAATATAAGTCACAGAGAGTTCTCTTACTCGTTATAGAGCTATAATGGAAATCTTCAAAGTATCAATTTCATTGTCTTTATGTATTGTTATTTTGCCTAATGTTAATTTAAGATTAAACAACGGAAATTGCAGATTAAGGTGTATGTGCGTAAGTGAGGTGATTAGAGTCAACCAAACGAGGCTTAACTTATGATGTCATAATCTGCAATTTTCTGGTTTTATTGCGAATTGAATATGGTAAAACAGTGAAAGCGACTGTGTAAATAAGACTAAATATGATAGGTTTCGGAAAATTGTAATAATCTGGAATGCCCTCTTGGTGTGTAGCATTTTTGTCAAGATTTAGTTTGACGTCATTCTTGAACAGTATTGGACAGACTGTTTCTCTATTTTGTGAGTTTCTCTTGAAGAGGTGACTGTAATAATGAAAAAATGTTTGACTTTTTGTCTCTAAAGTATTTGATTAAAGTATTACCTGATTCAATACATATGTTAGTAGTATTACATTTATATAGAAATGCACATGTTATCTGTTGCAAGACTATGCCTGGCACAACCGTCAACATGTTATTAAGCGTTTTTAAGTTGTGCAAGGATCCTGCCATGACTTTAGAAATAGCGCATGTCTTTAAGGAAGAGAAAAATATGGGGGCGTGGCTTATCATGGTGATGAGATGTCACTTATGCATGTAGAATAATATTTCTTTAATTAATTTATGAACATTAAATAAGCAACAATGCCTTACTAGAGCACATGGCATCTTGCTTCTTAATTCTTATTCACCCTTGTTGTCATTACAAGATTTCAAGATTATTTCTGTTAACTAATGCATGTGAAAACATTTTGTATGGTATATCTTATTTTAGCTAGGCATATCATAAGTTTAGAATAAGGATTGACATTTTTATTTTAATTTAATGCTTACTTGCAGAAGTCATGTGCATATATTTTCTTGAAATAAATATTCCATATGCATGCAGGTTTAAAGGTTTTTATAATAATCCACCCTCATTTGTATTAATTGTCATTTGGGTCCGCCAAATATTTTTGGGATAGCAGTTTAAACCATTCGAAGACATCTTTATTACCTATACAAATATATGGTCACATCTGGCCATTTTGTAAAAATAATATTTTCAACTAAAATAATACTAAATTCTTGAACCTACCTCATTTTGTGTTTTGTTATTCAAATATGAAAAAGAGTCGAAACATGTGGCAACTCTATTGCCCTGTTACAGGAACATTGAAATAATAGAAAAGTTGAATATGAGAAAAGTAGTAACTACATGTATATCTGTATTTGGTATATTCCAGGTGCTCCAACAAGAAGGGATGGGACGCTATATTGACCCCAGCATTTTAAGACGAGAAATTGCAGAAGCTCACGATATGACTTTGGATGAGGTTGAAAGAGCAGCTCATCAGTTAAGACACCCTGAAGAAAATGCAAACACTAAATTGCCCTATTATGAACACTTGGGTGGCTACAGCCTTCAAGAACTCAAAGACTACAACCAATACTCTGGTAAAGAGGATATCCAGAGAGATAAAGGACGAGGCTATAGCCTTGAGTATAGTGACGAAGATGACGCAGTGTACGTGACCACCCTCTAGTACTTACCATACAAGCTCCTGCTCTAGGGCTGTTTTATTTCATTTTTACTGGCGCCACCTAACCGTGGTGACCAAAGGCTTGAGGCCCCGGTGCCACATGCAAAATGGTTGCAGGCATCAAGTAAACTACTGCAAGTTTAGTGTCAACCTGTAGGCAGATTCAAAGCAAATACTCACATGCGCATGGTTGCCATAGTGATATGATATGATATGTTGCTATGGTAACAGCATCTTATAGAGAAAGCAAGGACTGGAGGTTTAGACTTAAGATCAAGTGTCATCATCATTTTACACGAGATGTATAAATATTATACAACTGTATTAGATGGAAAGTTCAATCCCTATTTCTTAACCCTTAAGCTTTGAAGACATGACTGTCATTTCCATTTACAAGATATTCTAAACCCTTTATACGCATGCATGTTGAAAAGAATGGAAATTAAGGTTTTAATTTCCAAAGGATCAAGTTGATAAACATGTAATATTTATTATACACTGTGTGTGTGTTTGTCTATCACTATGGTATTAACTGTTACATAAAATGTTTACATGTGGTCTGGTTAGATATTATAAGGGCACTAATCTCATTCACTGTCATGAATCCAACAAGGGATTAATTTGATGTATGGTCTCATCATTCTCTGTTGTCTCATTATCACACTAATCCTAGTGTATCTTCTAACATATTGTTCCTTTGGAGAAATTAATTAGAGACACAATAGGCCCCAATTGCTGCTTAATTTGAGACAAAGAAACCATGATTAGAACGTGAGAAGTTCTAATACCACATGGAGCACCATGTTAAAGACGTGTTGTCAAGTTCCGATGTTTTACTGATCACTTTGAGTTCAGGGATGTCTTGTCGAGAATGAATTAAAAAAGAGGGGAAACATTTTTGATGTTGTTTCTGAATTCAGCAGCATTGAGAATAAAGCTTAGATAGTTAATCAAGCTTTTGCCATTAGGGCACTTTTCAAAAAATTCCAACAGGGATCACATTTGACCATTTTTGGCCCAAAATCACTTGAAAAGTGCTCATAATGGTGAAAACTTGCATGATTGTGAAAGAAATTTTGGCCAAGGGGGGTTTGTAGCTCCTGGCTTTGGGCCTGCCTTTACCATCTCAGGCATGTAGTAAGAATATCCCAGGCATGCATTTTGAATATCTCAAACATGTCCCTATAATATAACAGGCATGCCTTTTGACTCTCAAAAATGTCCCTATAATATCCCAGGCATGCCTTTTGAATATCTCAAACATGTCCCTATAATAGCCTATCTCAGGCATGCCTTTTGACTCTCAAACATGTCCCTATAATATCCCAGGCATGCCTTTTGAATATCTCAAACATGTCCCTATAATATCCCAGGCATGCCTTTTGAATATCTCAAACATGTCCCTATAATATCACAGGCATGCCTTTTGACTCTCAAACATGTCCCTATAATATCACAGGCATGCCTTTTGAATATCTCAAACATGTCCCTATAATATCACAGGCATGCCTTTTGAATATCTCAAACATGTCCCTATAATATCCCAGGCATGCCTTTTGACTCTCAAACATGTCCTTATAATATCTCAAGCATGCCACATCAGAAAATCTTGGGTATGTTTTTGACATGCCCTTCTGATATGACATAAGTACAGTTTTATCATCAGAATTCCATGAGAATGTTTTACATCTTGACTATTTATTCAATTATATGTATATTTGTTCCTATTTATGAATCTAGAACTAGTTTTGAAAGATTCCAAGTTGAGCCATGAAGTCGGTTATTTCATATGTACATGTACAAAGACTTTTAAAAGCTGTATATTTTGAATGTACATTTTAATGTAATATTTACAATTATCTGTTTTATTGAAGAAATATATGGGTGTACAAATGATTTCAATAAATTTTAACGAAGTTTGATGAAATTTGGGATTGAACGCATGGAGGGTACAACGAAAGACTGAGAATAAATGTTTGTGAGAAAAATGCTGAGCCGTGACTTGCAATTGTATAAAAGACTAAAAATGAATATATTATGAATTTTGCTCATGTGTAACATCTAGACATGTACATGTACAGTCAAACATGTGTCTGTAACAATGCGTTACACAATATAAAACGTGTATCTGTAACGTCATGTCATATGTGAATAAATCCCTGTGACATGTACATGAATTATACAGTTTAAATAAAACATGTATCTGTAACACCATCAGTCTGTAACATGGGTCTGTAACATGTCAGTAAAACAAAACATAATTAACAAAATACTCAATTATATACGTAACCATGGTAACAGATGTATATGTATGTCATTTATATTGTTTCTTTTTGTACTTAAATGGCTAGGTGTATTTGACTGTGTCTCATATGCATACAATGTATGATTAATAATTAAGAGATACATTGGAATATACCATAGTTATACAGCTAACACTGGTGCTTTAACCTAAATTTAATCAATTAGACTTAGGATTCGATTTGTTCCATGTATTATCATAGTGATAGTGTAAGTTGATTTCAAGGCCAACAAACTTGGATATTGAAAACCTAGATCAATTAGGACTCGCTCCTTAGTTCCGGATGTACAGTTAGGAAGTTGTCTTATCTCATATTGTCAGAGTTATGACTCATTGCAATTCGCAATGTCGGTCGGTGTTGCTAGTTAAATAGGGATAGTTTCAAAAAGTCTGGTATCATGTGGATGTTTGTAGAACAAAGACAACTAGCACAGTTAGAGAGTTCTATAGGTTAGGAGTAGGTGGCTATTATTGGGACTCCAATTACATGCTGGATTTGTACATGGATCCCAGAGATAATGCGTTTAAATGAATTCTACATTTGTATATTCTAAAAGCCATCAAAACAGTTCTAGTATATGAAGACTTTCAGTAATGTAGTTTTTTTGTCATAATTTTATAAATTGTATCTTTTTGATTATCAGACTATGGTTGTCATGTCGTTTGTTTGTTTGACATCAGACAATGTCAGCTCTTCACCCGACATCAATAATGAAGATTGTCAGTGCAGCCCTTTGATCTGACATCAGACAATGGCATTTCAACCCATTAGCATTGTTGACCTGACAAAGACTAAGATTAGCGAAGTTTTATGATGCAAATTTATTCCAAATGAGTTCATTCATTTTGACACTATCCAATCATGAACCTATAGATGAGAATTAGGAACTAGAATAAAAATGGTTGATTTCATCTTTGTCTCATACACTAGAACTGGCTTTTATAGCATGAAGAATAAGTCTTAAATAGCAACAGAGATATTTTATGCTCTGAATTATGAATTATGTATATGAACAAAAGGTTTGTAAATACCCCAGATCTTGTACAATTTATATGCATAATATAGGGTTAATATTTTGAGCATTTCAATTGATATTTGCCATAGTTAGTGTGCACAAGGCGACTTTAGGAAGATGTGTATTGACTACACAATCTGGCATATTGTAGAATATTAAAAGAAACGTTCTATTGTTTTCTTTATATTTAATTGTGGTCCTTCGATTATCTTTGTGTTTTGTGCCTTGAATGAGCCTTAAACTTAAGAACAATGATTCTGTATGATATGAAAGTATTTCTTTATAGTTAATATACCTAGGTCAGTCTTGTATACTAGTATTGTAGACGCATGAGGTACTTAACCATACATATTATTTTTGCCTTCTTTGAGGTACTTTAATGAAGGAATTATTCACTTAAAGATTTTGTTTAAAGGTTCTATGTTTTGTCTTAGACATTTTTGATATTGTGAAATTGTATGTACAGTATTTTTTTTATCATGTCACTCATAAAAGTCTGGAATGTTGTCACATCTTAAGACACGAATGTCCTCATTTAACATGTCCAACAAAATTTTGGGTGCCCTATTGTAAATATTTTCTGCCCAATATTTTTATTTACCCTTTTTACTCGTTTCTGTTCTGTTCTGTACATTCTGCAGGCTTTGAATCTCGTTTTTAACTTAGAATCTCATATTTTACACTATCTAAGTTTACGAATCTCTCTTCTTCAAATATTGTTTTCAACTTTTATTGAATCTCATCCTTAAACTTTTTAAGCTTGTGAATCCTCAACAAATATATTCGTTAAATTAATTTTTATTCATGCATGAAATTTTCATGAATTCTTTTCATTATGATTATTTCACTTGATCACAATTTTTCCCATTTTGATAACAATAATACAGTTGCATGTGCTATACATTCACATGAACAGATATACTGTATTCAAGGCTTCAGGCTTCTAATGAGGTTCGTGTGCACATGAAATAACTCTACATTGAATGTAACAACAATAAACTCGTTTGCAACTGATACAATTATATAATACTGCATTATGAGTAATCTGCCGAACATTTTTTGCAATAATTGAATCAGCTTTAATGAGGTTTAATAACCCAAATTTTTGTTCAGTTTTGATGTGTTAAAAGAGTAGAAGAAAGAAAATAATAATACAGATTAGTTTTATTTATTCATGATAACAATTCCTTAAACTCTAATTACTTGAAAAACGTTAAATAATGATTTCAATCAGTCAAATCAACACAGCCACAAAACAATATGATTAATGAAGTAAAAGCGCATTTGGTACTTGTGGCTTGCACTAATGATCAAATCTATTAAGTAATAAATTCAATGTAGAAGCCTCGTTCAAAGTGATCACTTATGAACCTGAATTAATCATGTGAAAAACACAGCAATGGCACGTAAGACTTAATGCCTCAATGAAACCTGCCTTGTCTAATTTTAACTGATGCTATTATCTTCCCATAAATAAAAAAGCAGTTTTCAATCGAGATACTTGTTTGTGGATATGTTAAAATCTAAACGTAACATTTTAAACATTAACTTAAATCTCATTTTCATTACTTTCAAATTCCACACTTTAAGTAAAAAGTAACATGCTGGTCATTTTCGTGTTCAATTATCGATATTAATGATTTAATTTTATGTTTTAGGCCTATCCACACTTTCTCAATCTATTAGTTATATTAATTATGGCATAACATGAAATAACATCCTGTTCTCTAAATCCCAGAAATCCACGATTGATTTTTATAGCCTAAAGCGAGTGCTCCGAAAGAGTTTTTTTGTAAATAGAAATCATGTAAAATTTAATGAATGTAGATTTACATTAGATTAGGATAACCATTTTTACATGAGCTGTTATTATTATTGTTTTTACAAATTGTTTGTAATATATGAAGAACGTGATATATAGTCTATGAACATTAAGTAATCATTATAACTTGTTAAAAGATCTGAACATCATTCTGAAAACTCTGTGTTAACATGCTTTTATTAATTTGAACAAGGGCCTTTAGATTAAAAGAATATAGAGACTTTAGATTAGCATGCCTCTATTGAACATAGAGATTGATGTGCCTCTACTGAACACGGGCCTTTTAGAGGCTCTTTAATAGATTAATGTGCCTCTACTGAACACGGGCCTTTTATTGAACACGGGCCTTTTAGAGGCTCTTTAATAGATTAATGTGCCTCTACTGAACACGGGCCTTCTATTGAACATGGGACTTTTAGAGGCTCTTTAATAGATTAATGTGCCTCTACTGAACACGGGCCTTCTATTGAACACGGGCCTTTTAAGGGCTCTTTAATAGATTAATGTGCCTCTACTGAACATGGGCCTTCTATTGAACATGGGCCTTTTAGAGGCTCGTTAATAGATTAACGTGCCTCTATTGGACATGGAATTACATTTCATTTCCAATCAGAAATTGACTGATTAGATGTAAATTTTATTTTGAAGCATTGATATGAATTCATCAAGGCATATTTCATTATGAAATCTGTTTAATCTGAATTTTGATGTATTTTGGGTCTAACATTTGGGTAGTTTGATTGATATAATGAATAATGAAGTCGAATTTCCCAATATGTGAATTAAATCTATAACAGTATATCCATGTAATTATCACATTTTCACAACCTTGTTGGAAACCTATTTTCCAAAGTTCCTTATTTTGTATCAAGAGGAGTTTTAAGTTCC